TGCAGAAAAAAACAAATCCCAAAAATACATGAGATAAATTTGTCTTTCAAATGGAAAACAAAAAGTTCTTAACTGTTAAACAAAGAAAAAAAAACGACTGTTTCTGCCAGTCACAAGAACTACCACCGCAATTACACCTTGACCTTTAACGGGCCACAGTTACTGGATTATCTATGCTAATTTTGTCTTTACATCCTCTGGGGAATAACTTTTACAGTCCTCTCAATTTGACCAAGTTCTTGGGTTACAATACCAAATTCAGCTGTTCTTGCCTTTAAGTATTGACTGTGCATAGGTACTTCTGATTTTTCCTTCCAAGAATCCTACCAGCCATGAACTCACCCTAAAAATAAGAAGAAAATACCTCAGTGTAGTCATTTCAATAGGGAAAACCAATTTGTTAGAACTTAAACTTTATGCAAAACACACAAGTTTCTAAACAGAAGACACCTAGGCTCAAAGCCCTGTACTATTTGTCATAATTATTAATTCTGAATGAGAAAAACAAACTTCATTTTTGCGAGAAAGGAGGATATATTAAAGTTCAGAAATCTTGTCTTTGCTGCTAACTCCTTGAAGTATTCACTACATCAAGTTCTCATTTTCTGGATAGATTCCTGCTTAACAAAAAGAAGAAAAAAAAAATGTACCACATAGGTAGGTAGATATCCTAAAATAATTTCTAACAGAACTCAAGCAAAATGAGTATGGCAAAATGGAGGTAAAAAGCTGCATGCTGGAGGCACTGTGGTATAGTTTTTGAAAAGCAGGAAGTTTAATTTGCATGCAAACTAAAAATACAGATAGGGAAAGGATTATCATTTATAGAGAAGGTGATCTTAATTGCCTAGATTAATACTTTAGTGACAAAGTATCCTGACACTCCTATCTGTCTGTTAGGTATCATTCATTCTTTTTTCAGTAATACAAGGTGAGAAAAGAGCACACACTGAGAAAATGTCCTATTTCACACTTTGAGATAAAAGAAAGGATAGTAAAGTACAACCTTGCTTTCAGCAAATCTTCCCCAGCAAATATTTCCAATACTACAACCTAGAACACTGGAAACTCCTATCTGAAAGCAGGTTAACAACAGTTACTGAGGGCTAAATATGATATGTAATGACAGAGAAAGCATCTTGTGAAACTGCAAAGTGTAAATAACTGCACAGCTGGTAGAAATTTAAAAGAAAAAAAAAAAGACCCTAACTTCAAGGGATAGACTTTTTTTCCCATGTCTATCATAAAGAAAAGTTTAATAATTTCAACACATATTTCTACAAAAAAAAAAAAAAAAAAAAAAAAACAAAAAACTGGCAGACTTTTAGCTTATTCTGATCTACTGTATTTAATTTTTAACCAATTTTTAATGCTCAAGATATGCTATGAAGAGAATTCCAGGTCATGTTTAGTTCAATTGAACTGTACCTGTCTCTTGCAAGTATTCACTGATACCATCATGAAAAACAAACAATTCTTCCACAGATTCAGTTTGGCCATTTACCACTCTTCTTTTTGAATGAATGTGCACCCAGAGAAGTGACCTCAAACCCAGTTCTCCAGACTGATGAAAAACAAACTGCTGAGTCAGAATAGCAATCTTATAGCTGAATCCTTGATACTGCAGAAAAAGAGAAGAATTACTATCTGCTCTATAATTTTTGTATGAGACAAAAACAAAACTGCTTGGCTTTGAGAAATATAAAAGTGCAGAATCCGAAAGATGTTTAAAATATTTCTGTAACTGCTCTGAAATTTCAAATGCACTGAGGCAACAATTTTTTTTATATGCTTTTGTTAAACATATACTCAACTAGCAATAAAAATTTTACAAGCATTTTTAAACTATTTAAAGTCTTTGAAAAATTGTTCCTCTTCACATTTCCCAGTTCTTGAAATCAAGTCACAAAGTCAAATATTGATAAGACCACTTCCACACAGTTCCTCAATTTCTCATTTGTAAAGCTGTTAATATTAAATGCATAATTGTTGTCCTGTACTGAATATAAACTCCACAGCACATTTTAAGAATTCATACAAAAAACACTGAAAAATTTTGGAGCTATCAACTTGCATAAGTATATTTTACTTTATTATCTAATATAATAGTACTCAACAATCAAGGCATAACTATCAGTTTCAGATTAGATCCCTTAAAGTAAAATGCATAATCTGTATTTAGAGACAGATTTCCACTGGCCAATACCTATTTCTGTTCATTCAATTATTCTCTTTCTTTAAAAATAAATAAATAATAAAGTTAAAAAGACATAACTCCAAGCATTTCCAAACCTCACATTAAAAATGTCAGGCCTCTCATGCATTCTTGCAGTGGTTTTTAACCAAAAGTATATTTTTCAGTGTTTCCTTAATCTTTTTTTTATTTTTTTCTCCTACACTTCTGCCAATGGCCTTATCTACAACAGCTAACACTGCTCATAATATTAAAAGATGAAGTTAAGTGGTTCTAACTGGGAAGTGCAGAAAGAAAAGAAATGTATCTGTTATTGTGTCTCTGGGATCTAAAAACGTGCTCTGATGGAAAGACCGAAATTTCTTAGTATTGGAGTAAGGGAGTAGGAGAATGTATAGGAAGTACTGAAGGTGTCAATAATACAAGCAGACTAAAAATCTTATTCCTTTACATTCACTGGGTCTTTTCGGTTGCACCCTGACACCCCAGCTTAGGCCTCTATCAGACCTAGCCTTTAGAAGACTGTTGTACAGTGAGTTACTTTTAAACATGCAAGGTAGGTAGCAGCACACAGCATGGTAGCTTTATAAGTGCTGAAAAATATTGGTCAGAGCTCATGCCACAAACAAGCCTGCTCTGTTTAACAGCTTATTGCATGTTGGCAGAGCCAGTAGTAATTTCGTCCCATTCTTAGCTTGAAAGAGCAAAGTGAAATTGGGCATAAAAATCACATAAAGAGTTTTGAGTAGCTGGCATGCTATCCACTCTCCAAACAGGAAGGTTTATTTGACTTCTGCTCTTTTGGAAATCACAACAGAAATAAGGTGCCTCAAGCCCTCAGAGATCTTGATTCATCATCACCACCTCTGAGACCATATAAATTTGTAGTAAACACAAGGAAGAAGGAAAGATGTGAAGAAACACGTCTGAGTGCACCATCAGGGAAATACTAGAAAGCACCTCTCAGACACAAGGTTGGCCTTCGCTGCATTCCTTAGCATTGCCACTTGTGTTGCATCTGAACTTACTACGGAGGAGAGACAGCAACAGTTTTGTGTAAGGCATTCATGTTCTGCTAACAACTGGAAGAAGATATAAATTCTCTGTGAGCTACTGGTATTCTAGATTTACTGCCTTCTTGAAGATGAGACAGTGTGGCCTCTCTGCACTGTTTTTTCCAGGAGGAAAACAAACAAACAAACAAACAAAAAAACTATCAAACTGCTTTTTCAGTGTGGCTTTCCACTAAAACCTGCAAAGGCATCATCTTCTGTGAAACAGGAGAGATGAGGACGCACACTGCTGTAGCTAGATATAACTGGACTCCACAGCATTCTCTAACAGGGAGTCTAACCATATAATTTTCTAGCAGAATAATTTTGGGGCAGAAGACATTTCTCTACTGGCAACCAGTTACCAGTTCCAGCTGTACCCACACACTCCAGCACTAGACAAGCCTATAAAACTCTACATGGAAAAACCTCAGGCAGTAACTGCACAGCTCTATTTCAAATGACTGTGTTAGAAAGGAGAACAACATAGTTAACGGAATGGGGAATTTAAAGGAGCTATAGGCCTAATTGCCAAAATGAAAAGACTCAGAACTTCCACAGAAGCTAACAAGCATCATTAATAGAAAGTGTACCTAAAATTGTTTACACAAAAGTACATTATAATTTCAGTTAAAGAACTATATAGAATTGGCAATGCCCATTAGTTAAATTTGGGTGATGCTATTTGATCTGGCATTACAAGACAAAATGGAAACGCTAGTGTTCAATCCATAAAACAAAATTTCTTCTGGTCAAACTTTATTTCATGTCTTTTAAAATACATATAAGCAAAGAGAAGTGCCAAATCTGTTTGAAGTGCAAAGCAGCACTTCACTTTTGTTTGAATGAATTGCCTTAGACTTCTTAAATATTTAAAGATGCTGTCTTGTTTGGCCCCTTCTCTTAACAGTTTATTTTCTTCTTGTATATCTTATCTTTTCTTTGTTTCTTCAGACTTTCTCATCACTATCTCTCTTCTTTCACTACAACTATGAAGTCTTCGTAGTCAATTCCATCCATTTGCACATGAAAGCCAACGTCCAGACTCTTAACACCACCTTCTATGAAGCACAGCTTCCCCAGTGGCAGCAACACAATCCTACAGTGCTGTCATCCTTGCAGAATAATTCAAGAATGCACTGTATGTTCCTTACATTTCCAAGCTTACAGGCTACTTGTCACCTACTTGCTTAAAAATCAAAATGTGCTATGAAATCCAGTCGTACGTTTTCTTCATTAAGCCGTGATCATATTTTTCTGTCATTCAGGATTCATTAACACTGCCATGAAAGACAGCTTTCTGACCTTTCTCATGTGAAATATTTATCCTGTATCTTTTTACCTAGTTGGGTCTCTAAGTTGACTAACACGGTCGGTGCAGTGAAGACAGCACTGCCTATGCAATCAATGGAAACTGGCTGAGAGGAGCATCCCACTACTAGGATCTTCAGGTAATCAGGAAGGGTACTGATGAGGTCTGTATAAACTAGACAGAGTGGAAGCAACTATGTCCTGAACATTAAAAGACCTTTTTCCAAGACTTCAGTTTCCTTTTGTTCACTTTTTCCTCCATCATTGTATTTAATACTATTTCTTATCTGTCAAAGAATTTTGGATGTGGTTTGAAAAGTAGCATTACATTCAGATCGACAATAAAAACACAATAAAACTTAATAAAGAATGCAGCACTTCCCCTCCCCCCACCCTGCAAGAAAGAAAATAAACCAACAAAAACTCGCACTCCAGAATTGAAATTCATTCATAATTTCAGCCAACATTACTTCGATTATCTTTATTGAATGCTGTACTTACTTAGAATACAAAACATTACATTTTTTTCTATCAAATTTTTTCTCTTTACATTTCTGCCAGCAGTACTTTAATTACCCTGACCCGTATTCAATAGCACCTTAGAAACAGTGGAATTTCAAGTTAGAAAAGAGGAAAAAAGTGATTGTCAAAAACAGGCAAATATTAAAGATGTATATTAAATCTCCTGTAATGCATACAAAAATTACTAAAAGTGAGAATTTCACTATTTATTATCACTTGATACACACTTACTAATGTACCTTTGGCAATCAAGTATTTAGATGAAGTGTTCTACTGCCAACAACAAAAATATGAAAATTATGACACTAATGCTTGTGCAGTTGATCATAGTAGTTGAGAGGCAACTTATTAGAACAAGGCTTACTGTCACCTAAGAAGAAAAGGTAACTAATTATTCACAGAAGATATGCCAAGTACAATTAAGTACCAAATGTCAAAGATTCTAGCCCATATAGAATCTATAAATAGATTGTACAAAATAAAAATAAAAAAATCACATATTACCAGGAAAGAGATCCCTGCACAAACAATGCGATGTAAACAAAGCTGGCAACAATGAAATGTCTCCATTGCATAAAGTGATTAACTAAATGGTAATTTCAAAAGGAAAAATAACCAAAATTCACACTTTCTAGTGTTTTTCAGTTTAGCTGGTTGGTTCTGTTCATCCTTTGAATGGAGACGTGGCACAATCTCTTCCACTTCACTTCTAATATCCCTTCAGATTTTGCCTTGAGAAAACAGAACTCAAGATGTCCTCCTTAACAAGAAATAGCTCGTAGATGTTACAATGCACTTTTATCTCCACAAGGTTAGAAGCATGAAAGTTCTCACTGAAAGAGGGAAGCAATGCTACTGTAAACTGAACAGCTACTTGATTTGTTTTGAACTTGAAGCACCAAAATATCTGGTTTCATTTTTCAAATGAAGAATGTCTCCAATTCTTTCTATTCTGTTGTAAACAAAAAACCTCGCATCATAGGCAACTTTTTTTTCTTATCTTACAGTTGTGTCCATGACTAGAGAGCATTTAACCATCAGCCTTAGCACAAAATACATTTCCTATTATATTCTTCTTTTTTTTTTTTTTTACCAACTTTTATTAACTTCACCTAATTTGAATAAATCTTAATAAAATTTTGTTACAAAGTTGGAAGCAATATACTTAAGATGCAAATCAGGACTTAAATATTATAATAATGCTTATTAAAAACAAAATTAAATGCAAATTGATTTGCCAAAACGTGCATAAATGTACATAAATATGCATGAAAACATCATGAATGCAACACTGCTATACAATTCACAGTTTAACGAGAGACAAAAAATTAGCAGAATCTTGTTTCCAGTTCAAAAAAAATGAATGAATCTCTGCAATGTTCAGCCCATTAATCACAATTTCTGTAATACATACAGAATACCAAGATTATCAACAGTCACATACACTTTGAAATCAGGGGACACATGTATTGACTTAAGGTTAGTTCCATTTGTGTAGAACGTTTGCAAGGATTCTCCAGTAGTTACATTCCACCACTGTAAAATATAACAATACACTTTCAGTTAGTTAAAGTACAGTTAGAATAAATCATATAAAAAGCCCTAGCGTGGCTAGCCCAATTGACTGCTTTCCTCATAGAGATAGAACTAAGGGAGTAAAATATAAGCAATATTAAATAGAAAAGGTTTAGCAAAAGACTAATTATTAAAGATATAAGACTTTCAGATGAAAAGAAACTTCAAAAAGACTGAAGCTGTTCAATTTAAGGAACACATACAAAACAATAAATTCAGGCACTGCTCTTTACACCATCATAAAATACAATCAATAGAATTAAACTGTAGCATACTTTTTTTTTTTTGTATTATGTACTTTTATACAACCAAATGAATACATAAAACTCACTGCCATACAATCACTGCCATACAATATAAATGAAACTATAGCTAAACTTTAAAAAAAAAAGCCCACACACTTCACTGGAATCACGAACGGATTAGTCATTTATATAGATTAACCTTTTTCAGTTACGTCAGCAGGACAGACTTTTTTCTACTTAGCCTGTACATCCTTTTTTGTTGTTGTTGTTGTTTAGATTATACATAAGCAGTAGTAACAAAGAACAACCTTCTACAACACTTTATTCCACACCTGTAGAATCATTTCACATTTCTTATACTGCTCTCAGAACTGGAGACCATGATGAACCAAAATCAGTCCAGCAAAAACCTTTTACTTGTTCCACTAAGAAGTCTACCCTCTATTTTTCCAATATTTGAGTGCAGTACAAAAATATTGAAACAGATTACCTTTAACTTTGATTACCTTTGACACAAGCAGCTGACATTACTATTTTTTAACGTACTCATATCATGAAGTATGTAACAAATAGTAGTTGTGTGCATAATTCAGTTTTGTAACTACACAGCTATGTTTTGATTAAAAACACCTTTCCCAAAGTGTCCGTTATTTAATGAATCATTTGCTTAAACGTATGGTCTATGTAGCATAATCTAATTCTGCTCAATTTTCTGAGCAGAGTTAACTCCTGAAATATTTCAGACTTTCATTGATTAGGATCTCCCTTTAAGAGGTTTGTATGGGTGCGTTTGCACGCACATCATATTCATCCACCTGTAGATTTTGAAAAAATAAAAAAAAAAAAGAAGCAGTAACACAGGACTTTGAGAAGACATGGTGACAGAATCTGTTCTCAGTGACTAGAAAATGGCATTTGCCATTCCAGTTTACAAAAAAGGGAAAGGACAATCCTGGGAAATACAGATCAGTAACCTTCACTGCAGTCCCTGGGAATATTATGTAACAAGTTTTCAGGAAGTCATTCCATGGCATGTGAATGACAAGATCTCAGTGATTAACAACCAGCATGGATTTACCAACAAATTTACCAACAATGATTTTACCAACATATCATGCCAAACCGCCTAGTTGACTTTTATGACATTAATGGTGGCCCTGTAAACACCACAGCAAGAGTAGTGGATGTGATTTACCTTAACCATAGTCAAGCCTTCATTATGGTCTCCCATAATATCTTACAGTCTAACTGGAGAGATAAACACTGGGTGGGTGGAATATTTTGTAGCTAGCAAACTGGGTGGACTGCTAGATTCAAAAAGCAGCAATTTAGTCATTGTGTATTGAGCTCCCTGACTATATAGTGTTGAGCACTCTATGTTTAGCCTGGAGAAGGCTAACTGCCATCTTCACGTAGTTAGTAATGACAGTGCCAGACTCCTCTCAGAGCCCAGAGAGCTCCCTGTTTCAGCTGGGGGGGGCATTCGACAACTAAGAACCATCACAATGCCATACTTTGTAACCACAAGACAAAACAGGAAGGAAATTACAAACAGGATGCATGCCTTGTTCTTTCATAAGAAATGAATGTCAGAAAAGGTTTTCAATGCAAAATTAGAAAATACAGTGGTCTGGTAGCACAACCAATGGTCATCCACTGACCAACAATCAACTACCCTTCGGCACTTTGTGAGTTGAGAACTTCACAAATGGTCATCCATCCATCCATCCATCCATCCATCCATCCATCCATCCTACCCCTCCTCAGTCTCTTAGCCATTGGTATATGTGCACACACACAACACTTCAACTAAGGTGTTAGCTACTGCATGAGGGGAAAAAATAAAACTCGTAAGAAATTTGAAATTATGAGGAACCCAATTCACAAACTTAAATACAGACCACTGCTTTTCCTGTCTAGTACAAGTCTGAACAATGAAAGACTAATGAAAAGACAGAGTTCCTCAGCTCCAATATACACTTTTCCAATAGTTACCTAAACGCCTTTCAAGGCAGAATATTCCCACTTGCAACTCCTTCTGAATTTTTATTTATGAAAAAAAAAAAAAAAAAACTCAGTTATCTTAAAAAAAAAAAATGAAGTATTTTAGAAAGAATATATTGCTGCTGAAATTGAGTGGTTATTAAAGCAAACAGAAATGACTGAGATCCTTAATATTAAAACGTTGACGAAGGGCTTTACTAATAAAATTCTCAAGTTTCCAATTGTTTCTTGAACTCTGTGAACAATAGCACATGTGGAGTTCAAAAACCAACTCCATCCTAGACGTCTGAAGAATTCCTAAGACATAATCAGGGGGCTTTCAGATTGGAGAAGAAAAGTGAAATTGCCAGACAATCACAAAAATGGAGCGGTCTTGTTTTAAGTAAAATGCGTAAGGTTTGTTTCTTTTAAGCATGTAAGATTTGTGTTTTCCTTCAGAATTATCAGTGCATTGCTTCTTAATTAGGTATGTTAGAACATTTTATTATTTCAGGGCTTACCTTAAGATAGCCTCCAGATGACACAAGCATCTTACTGTCAGAAGAAAATGAGAGGTCGGTTACCCAGCCACCGTGTGTTGGTTCTCCTTCATCTACAGTAACTAGGGAGCAGAAGTGAAGTAATCCACCTGTTAAAATGTCCCAAATCTAAGAGAGAAAAAAGGTTATGTATACAAATGAAGTTAGGAAAAAAAAAAATCCAGTAAGAAAAGCTGAAATATGCGTTCCCATTTTATTATTTTTTAAATAATCATTCTGTTTGAAGTGACAGCCTAATCACCCAAAATGGGCTCTCCTCTTACCACTCTGTCATATATGCAAAATTTAATCATACGTGCAATTCACAGTAGAATTGCCAGTAAATCATGTGAATCATAGTTCCTCAGCATTCATGGAACATAAACCTATTAGTATGCTTACAAACTACTGTCTCCCTGTAACATGCAAAATATCTTTGCTATTTTCAACTGTCTGATATTCACTACAATTTTAATTAATTAGACATGCAGAACACAAACTATTAGAATTCTTTAGTATGTGAACTATCAATTGAATTATAAAATAAACAAGGTAAAAGCAGTACCCTTATATCTCCTTTGTCATCCCCAGTGGCTAGTAATTTGTTATTAGGAGAGAAAGTACAGCACCGCACACAGGCTTCATGACCTTTCAGCTCATGAAGAACACATGAACTTTCAAAGCTCCATATCTAAATTAAAAAGAAGAGTAAAAACAATAATTTTAAAAACAATTATGACTTCATCCACTTTTTCCATAAAAGGCATAGTGTTCAAATGTACAAAGTACTTTATATATCTATCTATATATATGCAGATATATAAACATATAGATATAAATATATAGGCATATATGCATGTTTACTTACATATGGATTATACCATAGTCTGTTTCTTTTTATTAATCACACAAGAATGCATTTGCTACAAATTACAGAACCAAGTGTGAACATATTTTCTTTGGAATATGCTCTTTAAGGCAATGGATTCATTTATAAAGAAGTTCACAGAATCGTCCCTAGAAAAAGGATTCATCAGTCAATTCAAAACTGTATTTAAAAAAGCTAATGGGACACTTTAAAAAGCTGATGAGGTAGCCCCAGAACGTTTAACATTTCACAACTTTTTGAGCCTAGATTCTAAACAGAAATGATACCAGCAACTGTGGACAACACTTTCTCTAAAAGTTTCAGAAATTTTCTTACTTTGTATTTCCAAATTAGATCAGCAGGCTATTAATAGAGAAAAGTAAAAGAAATGTTCTGCAGACTTGTACATTAAACGTGTATTTTACTTGTATACAGGTCACCAGAACAGTCTCAAATTATATCCAGATCAATTCTGAATGTCTGTAACAGCATTAGAAACATTTTCACATATATAGGAAACTTAACACTAGAAATACAACAGGATAACAAATAATCACCTGTTACCTCATAATAAAAGATAAAGCAGAAATTTCAGGCCAAACAAAAACAAACATGTTTGGTTTTGTATACAAAGCCACCAACCTTTGCAGTTTTGTCAGCAGAAGTAGATGCAAACTTACTACCATCAGGCGAAACAGCACAGGAAAGAACAGCACCTCCATGGCAAGCAAAATCTTTTTCTGTCTTTCCAGTGATGATATTCCAAACCTACAAAATACAGAAGTACCCTATTTTTTCATAACAACACTAAAAAAAATTACAAACATGCATCTTACAGGACAATACATAGGAGATAAAGCTCAGCTTTTGCTAAAATGTAACAATATAAATCTTACTAGAAATAGAAAACATTTCTGTCTTATGTCTCTGTAGCTTTCATTTTAAGATCAATACAATGTATAAATAAATAAAGATACAATTAAAAGACAGCAAAATGTATTACAATTTGTCAATAAACAGTCTTTTACTTACCTTAACTGTTCCATCAAATGACCAAGAAAGAAGTTTTGAATTTTCCAGAAGTCTAAAGTCCTTGATAGCTTCCTTGTGCCCTCTTAGAAACACACATTCATTCAACTGCCAATTCCATACCTAATTATAAAGACGGAATACTTTAAAAAATATATAACAAACAATTGAAGAATGCATTAGCTGATTTATTTTTAACTCACAAGAAATACAAAAAGTTTTTATGGAGGTGGCAACTTATTAAAAGGTAAGATATTGAAGAGGCATGCTGTAACACTTAATAATCAACCTATGGGATAATTTGCTTTAATATATTGATATTGAAAAGCATGAAACAAAACTGTTTCCCTGTAATATACACAGAAACTGATTTTTTGAAGTGAATGTGATGCTTAATTGCTTGGCAGCCAAAAGGGTCAACTGTATCCTGGGGTACATCGAGCACAGCACAGCTAGCTGATCAAGGGAAGTGATTGTCTACTGCGCTGGTGACTGTCTACTCTGCACTGGTGCGGCCTCACCTCAAGTACTGAGTGCAGTTTTATGCACCACAATATAAGGGCATAAAAGTATTAGAGAGCATCCAAAAGAGGGCTATAAGGATAGTGAAGAGTCTAAAGGGCAAGATGCATGAGGAGCAGCTGAGGTCCCTTGGTTTGTTCAGCCCAGAGCAGAGCAGGCTGAGGGGAGGCCTCATGGCGGCCTGCAGCTCCCTCACTAGGGGAGCAGAGGGGCAGGCGCTGAGCTCTGCTCTCTGGGGACAGCGACAGGACCCGAGGGAACGGCATGGAGCTGGGACAGGGGAGGGTCAGGCTGGGGGTTAGGGCAAGGTTCTGCACCCAGAGGGTGGTCAGGCACTGGGACAAGCCTAACCACTAGACAAATGGTCTGATTTCTATGTAGTCTTGTGGAGCCAAGAGTTGGTTCTCAATGATCCTTGTGGGTCCCTTCCAACTTGGAATATACTGTGATTTTATCACTCTATAAAAGCTTAGTGGTAATTACAAAAAAAAAAAGGCAAACCCATCATTTTCTAGACACCCCAGAAGTTTTCAGCTTTCAACCTCTGATTACTGCAATAAATACATTTATGTTATCTGGAAGACCTCATACTTTTCTATACCTGATTTAAATTTCTTTTGTATTTTTAAAGTGTATTTTTAATGCAATATCACTTCCATTTGTTTTGATAGCAAAAAGGCATTCCTATTTTTAATTCAACTATTCAATGAAAATTGAAGAAGTGTCATTTTATCTTACAGAAGCTATTAAACCTCAATTTGATTTAAGTAGCGATTATTTAATTGCTTTTCAAATTAATAGGCTTTCTGCATCAAAGAAAGAACAGTAACCAAACATGTTCAGATGAACAACTGGTGCACTGTCCACTAGGGGGAGCTGAGGACCTAAGCAAAAAAGCACCCACATCAGAAGGGGGATAAACTGGCAAGCTAGCTGTTGGTACTACCTTAACTTGTAGTGAGTGAGTGCCATAGCAAAGGCAGTCAAGCTAGCCTCAGATCCACAAGTTCTGTGCAGTCAGAGCAAAACAAAAACCGAAGTAAGACATAGCATAGTCTATATGTACCTTAGCAAATAGGTAGAAGTTGAAATAGATTGCTGAGCGAAACAGTACTCGAGGACCAGCATCCATGGGGATTTTAGAGGTTTTATTTCAAACTAAATCAAGTTTGGTTGTATTAACTGAATGTCCATACATGGCTGGAGCATGAACACTTTAGTTCACTTTAAGAATCCTGTCTGCATACCTGCAACTGTTCTGCAAGTGCAAACTAAAGCACTAAGTAAAAATGACCAGGAGATTCACTTCAAAAGTGCATCCCTGATATGAGCTCTAACACTAGTTTAGTAGCTAGGTTTAGTTTATTAATTTGAGCCTACATTAGTGCAGTCATTCTATATCTAGCTAGTATCTGTACTCAGCACCAGCCCACTCAGAGATAGGTCTTTTAATCCTATTCCCTTACACAATATAGGCGAGCCCACTTACAGACCTACTATACTTAGCCAATTCTGGGTTGCATCCTAAACCCTTCACTTATATAACCCTTCACTGTTACCTTGTTCAAAAATTACTCTTTCTTTTCACTCAACTGACAGGAGCTAGTTCTATCATCCACAGTATTAAAAACAGAACTGTGCAATACTCATTAGCCTGTACGGTATAAATAGAGGGTACGATTTCTAGAGCCCCTTGCCTTTGCCTGGTACTCTAACTTGCTGCTTCCTGTTTCTGGTCATCCAGAAAAAAAACACAGTAACTTTTCATTTTTAATTCCTTGGCACCAAATAAATTACTCGCTATAGCACCACTTGCAAATTGCAAAAGCTGGAAAGCACAATTAAAACAACAACAGAACCAAGAGTATCAACTTACCCTAACGCAACATAAAGATGCTCCATTCAAAATGCACAGAATCAAAATGGTTCCACACACAGAATACAGTAGACATTGACCAAGTTTACATTAGGTGTAGTAGAAAAGATCATTTTAAATGAGTTTTTGTGTACAATATAATCTTTTAAAATATCTTCCGAACCTGTATGACTGCATCATGAGCACTTGAAATCAGAGTCTGACAATCAGAGGTAAATCGACAATGCTGCACGGATGTCTTGTAGGCCGCCCGGCATTTCAGAACTTTCCCATCCAACAACTGTAATACCTTTACAATGAAGAATGCAGTAATCTTTTTACTTTACATAGTTTATGGAAAAGAAGAGAAGAACTTGCAAATTCTTTTTAATTAATAAAGAGACTGTAAATACATCATTCTCAGTCAACAAGAAAATTGCATTAGCTCAGTACTTGGTAAAAATAAATGCAGAGCTACATTATTAGCATTACCTCAAATTATTGGCATTTCAGCATCATTCAAATGTAAAAACTTTAAAGTACTATACTAAAGAATATGACTGTAGAGTCATTAAAATGACATTCATTTAAATAAAAGTATTTTTCCTATTGTTTTAAGTAAATTTACAATATAATACCTTTACTGTTCCATTCTCCTGTCCAACTGCTGCAAATTTTAGATCTTCACTTAAGCAACAGCAGCAAATAAGGGATTCCTGAGGTTCTGTCTGCATAATAATGTTGTCTGTATTTCCATTAATGAGCTGCAAGACAGGAAGTTAATTAAATTAATAAAATATTTTAAAATTTAAACTAAAATTAAAATAGAGAGCTAAGAATGGTAAGAGAATAGTTTGTCAGTTTCTAAAATTTGAATTATCTGTATCAGTTACTTTCATAAATCAACTTCTTTAAAGGTCTGTGTAACCATCTCCATACTGTAACATTTCCATACTGACAAGCTCCCTGAATGGAAGAAGTTTGCAAAAAGAAAAACACCTTAGGATTAGAAGGCTTTTAAAAAAGTTTGAGTACAGAAAACAGTAACTCAAGCTACTTGCCAGCCAGATTTTCCAATTCATGCCAAATGGAGCAGAAGCATGACTTAAAATTTATTAGCGTATACAGTGCACTAGATTTCCACTCAGTGTTGACCTCAAATTAGTTCTCCAGGACAAAAAAAAAAAAAAAAACAACTCTTTAGAATACAATGATTTACAAAACAAACAAACAAAAAGATTAAAAAGAATCCACTGATATGATGCATTTAAAAACAACCATACAGTACATCAAAAGGTGACTAGGGATTACTAATTTACTAGTTACAAAAGGTAAAACATTACAGCTACGAGAAAAACTACCTCCACAGATTGTGATAGTTGAGATTTACTATGGAATTACAGTAGCTTAACTGCAATTTGTCTTTCTGGTCAATTTTTCTTCTTGCACAAAGGTTAAAAATCTATTCTCTTGCTACAATAAAGTCTTCCCTCTTGACTGCACCTCTCCAGGATGTCACAATACTGTATTTAGGGCAGCAAATCTAAGCACCAACTTTCTCATGGAAAAGAAAGATATAATAGAAATATAGACACACACCTTAGGTCTACTAAGACCTACTAATTTAGATGACAGATTACACCATTACAGAGTAGTCTTACGTATTTTATAATTCAGGAAAATTGAAAGAATTCACTATCCTACACCCATTTACATGTGAGGAGTAATTCAACTCCATTCATTGTGGTTTTTCTCTTCCCTGTGGTTGATAGAGCTTCTTTTCTCACACATTTGAAATGTTCACATAAATTTTAATTTCAGCATTTACTGCTTCCTCTTGGCTCAAAAATATCTTTATTGTCAAGGCTCTGATAGAGATACTTCAGTTATTTCTATATCCATACTACCTATTATTCAAATATCATCAATATTCTACTCAAAGTTTCTTTTTTTTTTTTTTAGCACGATTTTTAGGTAGAGTAAGAACTGGCTAATTTGCTGACAGGACAGACAAAAGACAACAGACAGAAAATAGGAAGAGAAAAAGGAGGAAATCCCGAGGAACTCTAGGATTAGAAATAAAGATGATGGTCATGCTGATTAGCCAGGATTACATAGCTTACATGCTTGTCTCTGGACAAACTAGAAAAAAGGACATGACCCTACCCAAAGATTATCTGCACCATGTCCTGCAGGGCAGCAGAATCTATTCCAGCACTCACCTACCTACATATCCAGCAATAAGAATTCACTGATTTCACAGGCCAGAACAAAGGTTTTATCTTAGACAGCTGCTGCTTTAGGCTAAATAACTGAAATAGCTACCTCATAGCCAAAGGCATAGCATTGCCCATTTTATGGCTTCACACACAATCAGTTTGCATAAGCAGCACTCTGCGACAAATATGGAATTGTTTTGTGCTTTTGAACACTTGTAATCGAGTAAAAAAAATAACCTGAGTGAATAAGAAAAGAATAACCTGATTGCCTTCACTTTGAAGAAAATCCTATCAACTGACATTATTTAATAAATGAGAGGATCATGCTAAAAACAAAACCAACAAAAAAAGATGTCTGTGCTTTTGCTATCACAGAATAGCAAAAATATGTTGAAAATTGGTGTATTATTACTTGGCACGCAGGGTGGCGGGGAGGAGGTCTCACAGTAAAAATAGTATATACATTATGGTTTATAATATATTATATAATGGTTTATAGTATGGTATATACACTATATTAATGGTATTCTTTAGAACACAAAAGGCTCTATGCTGTCCTAAGGCTATGGGCTGACCTGGGCTTATATGTATCATTTCCCCAGTTTGAGATTATTACTTCAGCAGTAGGTTTGATGCATTAGGTACTTGTGTTGTGTAACACCTTGTCTATGTGTAGTGTATGTGCACATTGCTGTGCATGCCTAAGCACACTTCCAGGCCTTACAACATCCCCAGTCTTGAAGAGAAAACAGTTTTGTTCCTCCACATTGAGTTTCAGTTCCTACATCAGTGTGGAAACTCCCTTTAATCTTCAGTTTTTGCTTACTAAACTAGGCATAGTTCCTAGAAATAAAAATGTTACCATACATTAAGAGTCATCTACTACAGATCAAAGTAATGAACAAGCAGTTATTTCAGTTCTTCCTCTGTATCCTACTGAGATTTGCAGATAACATTCAAATGTAACAATGCATTAAGAAATAAAGCTTACTTGTATATGCTTCTGATTGTAAATTGCTAAAATCATTACTTCACCGTTGTGAAATACAGCATCTAGTTCACTTTTTAGCTCAGCATCAGAAGACTTGCACACCTTGTTTGTTTCCCAAATCTGTTGAAGAACACATTAGTTTTATTTCATTTGTTTTATTATTTTTGTTAAAGGACAAGATATAAAACTTGCTGAGTACCTATAAACTTAAGTCATATAAATTTACAAGTAACATTAACTGTCAAACAGTAAGAGTTATCCTCCTTCTGTATTTATTTACTAGAGGAGGTTGGGCAATTACTATAGCAATTCCAATGGATGAAACAGAACAACTTTTTTTCCAAAGCTGACCGGCAGACTCCTCGGTATTTGGTATCACAGTCCACAATTTTCTATTTCAAAGAGTGTTAAAATTCAATTACAAAAAACATCAAGTACCAATTTCTAATACTTCAATTGCTTTCAAAACGTTAAGAATGTTAAGTGTTAACTCGGAAAGAAGGAAACATTACTTTGGTAAGCTACAGTTCTACTTACACAGCTTTTAATGAGGCATTACAACTACAGGAATTTGTTCTAAATGTTAACACACAAATATATCTAATAATGAAAGCAACATCAACTTTGTAAGCTTACAAAAGAACCCTCAAAATAGTTCACAATGTTTTTATTTAGATAAAATCTAAAACAAAATAGGTTACAATTACTCTTGAACAGCCATTGGACTTCGATATGCAAAAAAAAAAAAAAAAAGAAGCTCATTTTACTGTATATATAGGTAACTTTATTATAAATATTTACATTTATATAATATAAACATTTACCCATATATAATACCAAATAAATGTTTGTATTATATATATGATTTTATAACAATTTTATACACACATACACAAAATGACATTTAAAAAAAAGTGATCTTACTCGTATTGTCTGGTCATCAGAGGATGTCAGAAACAGAGATCCATCTGGGGAAAATGTCACACAGTGAACCCAGCTCATGTGTCCCCTGCAATCTGCTACTTTTGATAAGGATTTAATATTCCATAACTACAACAAAAATATGAAAGAAGAACTTAAGTGGATTTAGATTGTATAGTCAGGGAAAATAGTGCAAAATCTAGAAGTATACTTAATTACTATTTTTTCTAGTATCTTCTTACTTAACTCTGAAATCAGACATGTAATGAGAACTGTGCCTGTTTATCATATTTTGATGGTCAGAGAAATGGAATCAGCAACCTCTTTGACTACTATAAGAGATGAGGTGGGGGAAAAATAAAGACATAGAAAGAAGAACACATATCACATATCACTCATTATAAAAACACATATTGTTCTGACCAAGTAGGTTGCAAAAACAAAACGAAAACAAAAGAAAGAGCCAGAAAACCCTGATACTTGTACAGGCTTCTTTAGCCATGCTAGTCGAAGTTATTTCAGCTGTTGTATTCCTCTTTAGTGAAATGCCACATCCTGTAACACCATATAGGAGGAGAGGAGCATGTTTTGTTTGCTTGTGTTGAATTAAGCAACGGGAAGGTATACACTCCACAGAGTGGTAACAGTAACTTTAAATACATACAGTAGCCTGGTGGTTTTATATACAACTAAGATGAATGTATAGCTTTCAAGTATTATTTCCTAATTTACCTTTTATACTTTAGAAGCAAACAAAAATTATAACAATGAAGGACAATGAAAGCCTGTTAAAAGGGCTGATTTGTTTGAACTCTGCATACAGAGTTAAAACGCATACAAATACAGACACATGTATCATTTTACATTACTGCAAAAAAAAAAAAAAAAAATCAAATCACTTACCTCAACAGAACAATGAGACAAAGCAACTGCTACTAACTCATCACCAGCACAGAAGTCACAATATTGGATTGTACTGTGATGACTTACGATGACTTGCGTTAACAAATCACTTGTTTTAACATCAAAAAGCTGTGAACACATAATTGCAATACTTAGCACACAGATGAAATTACTTCACTACAAACAGTTTATATACTCAGCAGCATACAACTTCAAATCTAAAATGTATTTCTCTCAGTCAATGTTTGTCACCCACATATTTTTACTTAACACACACTTAAAGCCATGCAACTTATGTCTGAAACATCTAGGTGGCCTATAATATAATCTTTATTCATAGTTTTGAACTAGATAGCAGTATACTACCTATAGAAAATTATTAACATGAGATACTTACCAAGAGTTTATTTTTGGCAACGGCCAAAATCATGTCACTATTTCTGGACCAAGAGCAACATTTTACTAAGACCTCCACATCATCTTGCTCATCTGCATTTTGGAAGAAATCTTTTATCTCAATAGTTTTCAGTTCATTTGCTGAGCGTGCTTCCCAAAGCTTCAAAAAAATATATATATAGAAAATACATGAAATTTCTTTTTACTGCTGAGGATAAAAAATACAACAGGGAAGAGCTATCTCCCAATCACTTATAGGGAGGAAAATGAGGAAGACACACACACATACACACAAACCACCACCACCAAAAAAAAAAAAAAAAAAAAAAAAAGAGAACAGAAAGGAACACCGAAACAACCCTTTGCTTTTTCCACTACCCCAATCAACAAATGGCATTAAATATTCACATGCCCAGATGGCCGTCTCAACCTCTACTCGGCAAAAGAATAAAAACAAAAATAACATCTGTTCTGCAACTCTATTTAATAAAACCCACTCACAATGAGAAATCTGGTATACATCTAGTTTTGTACCCTAATTTCACAGAGACACCTGCCAATGAGCTAGAGCCTCACCTCGAAGTACTGTGTGCAGTTCTGGGCACCACAGTACAAAAAGGACATTAAACTGTTGGAGAGGGTCCAGAGGAGCGCAACAAAGATGGTAAAGGGCCTAGAGGGGAAGACGTATGAGGAGCAGCTGAGGGCAATGGGCCTGTTCAGCCTGGAGAAGAGGAGGCTGAGGGGGGACCTCATCACGGTCTACAACTTCCTTGCGATGGGGAGTGGAAAGGCAGGTGACCTATTCTCTGTAAACACCAGTGATAGGACCCATGCGAATGGTGTTAAGCTGAGACAGGGGAAGGACATCAGGAAGAGGTTCTTCACCAAGAAGGTGGTTGCACACTGGAACAGGCTCCCCAGGGATGTAGTCACTGCACCAAGGCTGTCTGAATTTAAAAAGCGATTGGACTGTGCATTTAGTAACATAGTCTAAACTTTTGGATAGACCTGTGCGGTGCCAGGAGTTGGACTTGATGATCCTTATGGGTCCATTCCAACTCAGGATATTCTATGATTCTATGATTTCTGTATCCTCCACCACAACTTTCCTTCTGAATGACAACAGCCACTGCAACCCTTCTTTCCCAACGTCTTTTTTGCAACTCTACAGATATTTAATGTTTTAAGAACTGCAGTTCTGGAATACCATAGATCTGTTGCAGCCAAAGGCAGTAAAAACAAACCTTACATTCTAAGAAAAAACAAAACAAAACCCTCTCAAATTCTTTTCTGGTGCACACATGGAAAACGGTGCACAAATTACTTTTAATACTTGTTTACTGATGGTTCATTTTCAGAGATGACAGATGTTTCAACTAAAATTAAAAAGATTTACATATGTATATATATACACATCAACATTTTTTGTTTAAGTAAGTTTTGAAACACCCTCCACCCATTTTCTTAGCCACATACATTGTTTCAAAAAAAAAAAAAAAATGGTGTAAAGTAAAGGATTCAAAATGAAGTTAGGTAGAATTTGTTTTAAGCAGTAGACACCGAACTTTTTTTTCTGGTAACGGACAAGCCTTTTCAAAGTTTAGCATTAAAAATAGTAGCAATACTCAACTGTTTCAGGGTTTAATTCATTAAAAGCTAATTATGCAAATGCAGAACTTTCTTATGCATATTTTGCATTTTATGAAAAACAAATCAAACCAAGCAGTTGATTTAACAAATATGCCATGTACCTTTACTGTTCCATCTGTTGAGCAGCTGGCAACATATTCATCATTTGGCGAAAATCTACAGTGATTGACAGAATTTACATGACCAAACATCGTATTTCTACAATACTTTCCCTTCAGATCCCAAAGCTGCATAAGAAATAAACATATAAATTTCATTATATTTGTGAACTATTCCAAGATAAATTTGAAAAGAGAGATTTCTGTTCAAAGAGAAATTTCTTTACTGAAAGGATTGTGCGGCACTGGAATAGGCTGCCCAGGGAAGTGGTTAAGTCACCATCCTGGAGGTCTTCAAGAAACATGTAGACTACATGTAGTAGCGTGGTTCAGTGGTATGTCAGTACTAGGTTAAAGGTTGGAACAGATGATCTTAGAACCTTTTTCCAACCTGAATGATTCTATGATTCACACAGTTCACATTCTTAAAGTGCACTGGCAACCAAATCCTCAATTTTTTCTTAGTTTTACCTTTTTTCTTAGTTTTACTTTTGCTCACAGACTTTACACTATGCCTGAGGCTCCCCCACAATTTATTTCCATTTGCTAGCTTGCATGAAAATTATTCACATCAGTATTATATAAACCATTTTGTACAGTAAGGATAAGGCCCTTATCAAACAAAGTTACTGAAATTTTCTTCAGACTGAAGAATAAACTTTGTCTTGCCTTTCTTTCAAATTTCAAAGTTCAGAATTACGTAGCTTATATACAATAACTAAAATGAAATCTCTCAAGTTATTCTTGGATTACTGCATCCTTATTAATAAAGACAGAAGAACATTCCACATGTTTAGGGCACGTGCACACACAGACTGTTTTCCAAGCCTACAGCCCACACTTTCTTTCTGTTTCCAAATTTCTTGCCCTTCTCCTATATAAAAGCAATACACTTGACTGCTCAAGTGATAGTTCAAAGCAAGAACAATTATCTGGACAGTGTTCTCTGAAAACAATCACGTCTTTTCCACTATTATTTTACTACTCTATTCTATTATTGTGCATATTTCAGTTCTGTCATTCATTCCCCATGAAAACTGTTGAACTGTCCAAAACTTCAGCCACGTTTACAGCCTGAGAGTGGTCATTTTAAACAGGTTTGTTCTAAATCTGTTTGTTCCAAGATGTAAGTTTCTGACAACAAATGCATCTCTCAGGACATCCAGGTCAGCACAAAAGCCTCATCTTTTCATCTTGATATTGGCTCCTTATGTCTATTTTAACTCCAATTTACACAAACACAAGCTTCTGCCAGAATGCTTCAGATGAGATCTCACATTACCATTAGAACATCTAACAGACTGCTACAACTGGAAAAGGCACTCCTGCCCCCTCCAAAACTCCCACGCCTCACTGTCTATTCCCAGCATTTCTCTTGTACTGACACTGGAGAGTGGAGCCACTACAGTGAACTGAAGAGAAAACCAATCCCACCAGAACTGGCTCCTTGAACCATACCATGCAGAGTAAGATCAGTACATGCATTGCAACAAATGCAAGACAGACTGCAAGCATAGTAGAGTCCATCATCTTCAGTGCCAGTGAACTATTTGATTTGCCCAACTGTTCTGTGAAATTCCACCCTTATCCAACAGCTTAGGTCATCCTTCAATCTCCTTTTTTCCTCCTTCCTCAAATACAGACTTCAGTTACCTTGTTTCTGCTCTCTCTGTACACATAATGCCCCCCAGTCTGAACAATGCCAGGTGGCTAACCTGACAAATCTCATTTTGATTATTCTTATTTGTTGGTTTCCACTTTTATTTCTTTACTATGCCCTATGAATTTAGAAAAGAAAAAAAACTACACCTGCTACACTTCCATAAGGTAAACCTTTTAATCCTTCAGCATCCAGGTTGAATGTTTGTTTCGTTGTTATTTTCCTAATGTTTTTTTAAACATTCAAAATGTTTAAAATCTTAAAATTTCTGCTTCATTTTTTCTTATTTCGTTTTTAATCAGGTATTCCACTCCCAAACTTTCCCATTCCACCCTCTAAAAGTCTTGCCAAAAGTCTCCATCTTTGTACCCTACTAGTAAGGATTTGCTTATTCTCTTTCACTAAACATGAACATTTCTTCTATTCTGCCTTGTTGAAATCCAGTGACAGAGCTTCGGTAAGTACTCCCGATCTATTTCCTTATCTCTTCTTTAAGTTAAAAAAAAATAATTTACAATGTTTGAAGTACATTTATACAACAACAATTAGTCTGTTGTGGTTATTTTTATATTGCTAACCATAACCTTTTCCACTTACTTTGATGAAAGTATCATTTGAGCACGTGGCTAAAAGATACTGACCACTTCTGTTATTGAACTGGCAGCAATTGACCTGCTCTGTGTGTTCTTCAAATATGTGCATACACTTGCCTGTTCTTGAATTCCAGATCTACACAGAATTGAAGGACAAATAACGCTTTAAAATATTGTCAGTGTACTTGATTTAAAAATATACATATACAAACTCCACTGGAATACAAATAATGTCCTAAAGCATTCTCAATTACACAACAGAAATGTTTGGAAGAGAAACAGAAAACATGTATATTTATATTTAGACACAAAAAGCTGTAATTTTAAACTGTTTCTACTAATGTAGCCAAGATAGAGATATATACACTTTTCAAGAACCAGAACACAGTAGCTACAGTAAAAGTTTCTAATGACAAAGAGTCTGTGACCAAATAGGACTGATCTGGTCTTATTAAAATTCAGTTTTAGCTTATTATTAATTATATAAACTTTCACAGCAAAGTGTTTGAACAACTTAGAAATCAAAGGGGAAGGGGAAAAATCATTGTTCAGATTAGAATCTGAGAGACTAGAATACCAATCAAGGTTTTGCTGCAATACTGAAAAATTAAAAGTGAACAAACAATATATAACAGAAAAATAATACGAAAAAAGCTTTATGGGCATTCATGTTATGAACAGGATTGGACTCATACATTATGCTCTACTTAAAATGAATCACCTGACAATACAAGGAAAATAACCATCATACATAAAGAATTACAACTAACATAGCTTCATTATAATTAACAGAGTATGCCTAATGTAACAAGTATAAGGTTTTTCATTTTGTTTTTCAACATCAGGTTTAAGACAGTTAAAAAAATAATTAGTCCTAAGACTGTTCTGCTTGAATTGGTTAAAACTGAAATTGGAACTATCACACTTAAAAAAAAGTCTGTTTTCTATTTCCTTACCTTCACTTTTTTATCAGCTGAACAAGTTGCTACATACTTATCATCTGCAGAGAACGCACAACAGAGTATTTCATCTTCATGAGCAGTTATTTCCAGCAGCATCTCTCCACTTTCTGTTTTAAACACCTGAAGAAATACAATAAAGAAATCTTGTAACTGGCATATAATTTTGAAACGTGCTACACAGATTTAAATTTGTGTTCCTTGAAACAGATCTCTATGCTCTTTATTAAACTGGTTGCATTTTGAAAACATTTATAATTTCAAGGTAACATAATATACGTGTAAAAACATTTAATTGGAGTTTCAATTTCATAAAGATAATAGAAATTCTTAGGGAAAGAAATACTGAAAAAATATTTTTAAAAAGTTTCTGCATGCATTACGTGTTTAATTAATTATTTTTTTCTACCCTTTATGCCTAAGTCTAAACTTAAGTCTTCTAACATTTAAGTCTTTCCTACTCTTTAAGGCTAAGTCCACATCCTCACTCATTTTAAGAATAACTGCACAAAATACCTATTAACAAAACCTAGCCTGTTATTAAAAGTACAAATTCCAGGTTAATATATCATGATATTCTTCTACTGAAAGAAAGAATTTTAGCAGCAACTGATGATTTGGGGAAGGAAGAGGAAAAAAAAAAAAGTAATAGTAAGATGTTGTACAGGATGACACAAATCTGTCTTGATCTGGTTGGAAGGAAGTAAAAAGCAGTTGGGAAGAAGTACTACAAATTAATCTTTTTTCCCCAAATTGTGAGATTTTGCTTTACAAGCATGAAAAAAAATCAAGACATCCTTTCCTTTACAAGGGCACATACTCCTAAGTTACGTAAACAAATCACAAACTCTTCTTTACAGCAGCGTTCAGGATGCTACAATTCTGAAGTCCCTATGTTTCCCACTGTTTTTTTCATCAAACGGGAATATAATAACAATGTAATAGTTGGTATTTGTTAAAACAAGAAGATTAATATTAAAGGAAATCTAAATTTACAGTAAATTCTGTGGAATACCTGTTCTTAATCTAATGCTATAGTTGATTCCATGGAAACAGTAGTAGTAGTCTTAAAAATTGAAAAACATTAGTTTTATTTCCATGCCACTAATATGAAAAACACAAATAAGTTCAAAGTTAATGCAAAAATATTATTAATTTTCCAATTATTTCTTTCATGTAAGTTTAGGTTAAATGCAGTTACAATCCACAAAATTTTCCTTTTTTTTTTTTTTCCTAGAAAATCAAAAATCAAGAAAAACAAGAAAACAGCAGTCTCAGTAACGAGGCCATGAAGGACAGAAGCATGGCACAGTAACTTCAACAGAGCATAAAACTAGCACATCCACCAAGCATCTCCTTAAGTGGATGCCACATAGAAGCCAGCAAATAAAATAAGCAAACGAACACCACCACACTAAATAGGCAAATGAACAGCAACTAAGGGCCACTTAGTATTTTTACTTTAGTACTGAACTTATCAAGCATCCAAAACAATACCAGAGGCTTGCAGAAAAGTTGCTCTTTACCCTTACCTTTGGCTGTCTGGAATATGGATACTTTACCAGGTTAGTGGCTGGCTGATTGCTAGTTTTCTCAAGAGCAGTTTGGCTCCCCTCCAGGCAGACTGCTGGCAAATTTGGATTAGTCACTTTCCTCTCTGTCTCCCCTTATCCACTTCCTAAGCACTTTGTACCTGTTTCCAGTCTACTACTGTCCTCAACTTCTGGGGCTCACTTTTATCCCTAGATTTATTTCTTTCACATAAGAAAATTTACTTACTAAGCACCAAAGTAGTATAACATCCATTACAATCCCAAGGAAATTGCAGAGCTGTAACTGTCTTTTCAATTCTGTAGAAAATCCACTATGATGGGAAATATTTTTGCAAACAAATAGGAAACATGCTGGGATGTATTTCTTTGGTTGTGGGCTTTCTTGTATCATTAAAAGGTATTTCATGTTGATGTATTACACTCGTTAGAGTACAAACCCTGATATCAAAGTTTCGTTTTTGAACTAGAAAATAGTATTTTAAACATGCAACTTGATATTTATGTAATAATACATCCTTTTCAATGTCTCCAATACATTCTAGATCCATAAGATCTTCATACCAAAAGAAAAGCAACAGGACTTTTAACAAACGTTATGAAAATAGTACACAGCGTTACATTTCACTCATGCATAGGCATTTTACCTGAAGTGTTTTATCAGCTCCACATGATGCTATTCTTTGTCTGTCCTGAGAAAAGCAGGCATGGTAAACCGCATCTTTATGTGGACGAACAACCAGACGGGAGAGGTTTTTCAAGGATTTTTTATTTCTGCAAGATAAGACGGTGGATTTTAGATGAATAATAAACTCTAGGAAATCTTACTCAAAATCCTCCCTAAAAAGATAACATTTGTTCAGACATCTTGAGCAGCAAGCTTTAGAAACAACTGGCCTCACAGCCTTCATGCAGAAGAAGGGAAACACAAATTACTCCTTTCCCTGAAAATTTTCGTTGCCCTCCAACACTTAAAGCTTAGGAACCATGAAAGATGCTATGTGCATGAGAAACTAACATGCTACTTCATGTGCACAGCTGTTGCAGTGCAAGACAGTCTTCCTCATGACATCTTAATGACGGGGTATGTGCTATGTCCAAATATAAACTTATTTACAAGACTTCTTGCTCTCCTACAGTTTCTCTTTGAATTTTACTCAAAAACAATCACACATTTGTTTAGATCTAAGGAAAAATATTTCAGTTTTACAGCAATGACTCATTTTTCATGGTTCTTGCCTCACTTCAAAAAAGACTTAGGATTAGTAGCAACTGTAATCATCCTGTTAAGCCAGGTGTTAATACAGAAAACTGTCACTGTAATAGGATGATTTTTGGTAATGAATATATTGTTACAAGATTTTTTTTTTCTAGGGTCAATAAATCCATGTACTTTTTTGTTTTTTACGATCACCAGCTTCAATCTTCAGGCTCGGTGATTGAAAAAAATGAGTAAAATATCTTGAATAAGGTTACTGAGCTTTAGAACAAAAACAAATTTCACTGCAAAATAGTGAGTCATCAAAACATTTCTTCTTCCCTCATAAGGCTAAAATTACTAGTCAAGAGTACAACTTACTCATCTGCACATCCAGAAACCATTCTGAGAACCCTGTTCTAGGATTCAAGACAAAGTCATCCATCTTCATTCTGCTGATTTCAGCTTAAGTCTCCTACATCCAAAGTAAATGCCCTAAACTACCTGGAGACTGACTCTTCTAAAGCATGTATCTTTCAATTGTTTTTGTTATAATTCTGTTAGCTATTCAAAACGAAATAACCAAATATTCAGTGATGATAGAATTCAAGTCTGCCTGGTTTGATCTGCCTCGTTATTACCCTGATTACCCAAAAATCATTTTGTTTCGTAACCATCAAAGATTGCAGAACAAAAACACTGAACAGGAAGAATCTAATTGACAGTTACACGGTCAGATGACTACTGGACTACTTGCTATACTGAAAAAATATTTATATACGTATACTTTTTCCTTAAATAACTTAATAAGATACTATGGCATCAAAAAGTTATATAAATGCCAAAAATATCAAATTGGGGTAGAGATTACAAAGCCTTTTAGTATTTCTCACCTCACTACTTCCAAAAAATTGACAAGTTAACATAACTACTTTCTTTTTTTTTAAAGTGCATATTTTACTAGAAAATCTAACAATGTACTGCAAACACACAGTATTTGCCCCGCATTTCTAAATTTTCTAAAAAAAAAATTTAAAGAATTGTCAAAGAATCTCAATTTCATCTTTGTATAGATATTCAAAATTAACAAATCACTGAGTAAAAAATATTCCTTTATTTCTGTGTAAACATTACTAATTTGTAGCTTTACATATCCAGTTACCCTCCTTGCACAAATGCCTGAAAATTGTTTCACATACTTTTCCCATGAAAAACATTGTACTTCTTAAAGTCCTTATAAAAGCCATACACTATATTTAGTTGTACATGAAATGATTGTATTGAATCAAGGGATTAATAGATCAGCAGATGGATTATTGCTACTTACATCCATTCCAAATAAAATGCTCCTGTTTCACTCTGAGCACGTAGCTTGGCTTGTTGATATACCTCTGATGTGTCTGGTTGACAAAGACCCAGCTGTATAATGTCAGGAAATGGCTGTCGCCCAAGAAGGTGTCCATTTAAAGACAGAAATTCTTGGAAATTCTCACGTACTATGCTATCCTATGTACAGAGCAGATAATATTTGGTAACACATACAGAGGATACATTTTCTAAGTGCACTTTGCTTTTTTAATTTCCTATATAGATTATGTTCTTACAGAAGCATTTAGTTCTACTTAGTTCTATTAGCAAGCACATATGATAGACTGAAATATATACAAGCAAGTTTAACTTCATGCTGCCTGTATGTCTCACTTTTTAAAGTTTTCTACAGAAACTCCCATAAATACATAAATAACATGCAATTAAAGATAGAAAATCATATTTTGAACAGACTGATCATTTACCTTTCACATACCTTTTGATCCAGGACTGAACTATATTCCACATATTCATGAATCAGATGAGCAGGCCCTACCAATTCTGTTTTAGCTTTAATCCAATCTAGAGAAAACATAAGCTCACGGAGTTCCTACAAGAAATACAAATTAAAGTTCAGAGCATGAGTTCCAAGACTGCATCTACCTAAGAGTAGGAAAAGCACAAGAAAAGCACAAGAAAACACAATAGATATTTAATATACAATTAATATACAATCAACTTTAACTGGAGTACAATTGACTCTAGTTCAAAAGTTGTGCGATTTCCTGTTTCCTGCTTCTTACTTGAATGGATATGAAAATTCTGGGTATAGAAAACTAAGCTTGGTATTACAGGGAACCAAAGGATTGTTTCTTCTCTGATTAGTTGTACTAAGGAATGGGGAGGATGAAACAAATCTTGACTTCTGTAGCATAGAAGACCTGATTTATGATACAACTCTGAAAGAAGTTTCTTCTAGACCAGTCTGGCAAAGATCAATCTGCTAATAGTGATCTGTTGTTGTTCACAAATGAAGAGTTTCAGTAAGAAAAAGATGTTATAGTTGCATTGAATTTAAAAATGAGAGCTACCTCTAGAAGAACAGAAGCAAGAAGAAGTATTAAAATACTTGCTGGGATCAGAAAACTCTGGGAAGTGTACAGTCATAATGAGAGAGGCTAAAGAATTCTGAGATGCTAGTTCTATAAAATATAAAAAGGCTAATTATAAAAACATCTTTCTTACAAACTGAAAGCAAAAAGACAGATAATCAGTGAGATAAGTATGATTTTAAGATAGATTTGTAGCCCACAGTCATTTCGAAAACGCCTGTAGGTACACAAAATATATTCTATACAAGTCAGATAAACCATCTCAGAAGAGGTTCAGATGAAAAGTTTTAGCATGTGAAATAAAGCAATTAGTCACCAGCACCAAATGCTATTCAAAGCATAAAGAGATCCAAGTGAAATTACAGAAAGTAGTTTCTACTACCGATCCATGGTTTGTATCTTATACTAACTTAGTACCTAAAAAACAATAAGTGGCAAAAGTGATGGCAATTTTTTTTAAAGGCTCCAAGGTAATCCTAGCAACAGAGATATGCCCATCTAACTCCTGCCTAACATGAAACGGCTCCTGAAGTCTGTCAATATAGAGAATGAACATTTACACAGAAATTAATATGACATAATGGGAAAAAGTAACAATAATTCTATAGACAAAAAAAATCTCTCTTCACCGATCTAATCAAATCATCTGAATAAATCGATTTACTTTTATCATACAATGTAGCGAGCCTGGATTTTCAGAAAAGCTTAGGGAAGATTTCTTACCAAATCTTCCTCACCAGGAAGAGAAAACAAAGAGAAAAACACAAACTGTTTTAAGAAATATTCTCATGAACTGGTTGAAAAGACAAAAAGACAAAGGGTAGAAATAAAGTAGTTTACATAGTAATAGACAGTGATTATCAGTGGACACCCTAAAGAACCTTACGTTCACTGTTTGTATATCTGCACAAAAGCCTGGGAGCAGAGAGGTTTGAGAGGGAAGAAGTGGCCTGGACGGGAAGGGCAAGCATAAAGGAGAGAGGTGGGGGAATCAAGAAAAGAAACAAAAACCCAGCCAGAACTCACCTTCTGCATGTTGGCACCAGCCATGTGATATGCTAGGAAGTTATACCAGTACATGCAATCCTCTTGAGATGGAATAGGCATGTTAAGCTTGTAATGTTTCTTGTACTGATTTACTATGTTTTTATGTAGCTCCTGCAACATGAATCAAAACACACCTTCAGTGAATACTATACCAAAGTACGGACTGACTTTAGCATTGAGGTTTATATTATTGTTATTTCTCAAAATAAGATGTCAACAGATGAAATAAGAAAAAATTATCTTCAAAAACTGTACATATAATTTATTGTAAAAGCTTTCCCCAGAAACAGTCTCTGGATACTAAAGCCAGAAAAGCAAGCTGATAACCTTCCTTCTTAGACTGAGAACAGCTCTCGAGTCACTACAATAAACAATATATATATATATAAAATAGCCAATATATATATAATATAGCCAACAATAAAAACAACCCTTACATATGTAGAACTAAAGCAAGACTAGAAAACATACGTGAATCTAAAGACAGCAATTTGCTTTTTCTTCATATCTACTCTTTCTGCCCCTTCCTTCAAAACTGATAAATTTATTTGGCCCAACTTTTAGGACATCTCCCTGCAAGCACTGCCTTAAATTGAGAAAAGGAGTAAAAAGCGTTTCTCAGTATTACAGAAGGAATTTTCTATTCTGGTAGGGTCTTGATTTCTTTGGAATTATCAATGGAACACTCCCCCTCCTGATGGAAACATCTTTGACAGAGACACAACGTGTTTAGAATCTTCTTTCAGATTAGCCTGAACACAGGCTAGGCAACAAGTAGAGAGAATGGCTCCAGAGAATGGCTTGGGGTACTCGTGTATGAAAAACTTGACAATGTGCTCTTGCAGCCCAGAAACCATATTCCGTGCTGCATCAAATGAAGTGTAGCTAGCAGGTCAAAGGAGGAGATTCTATTTAACAAAGGAACATTTTCTGAATGGAGAACAGAGTTAGAGGTAAGTAGATTAGCCAAAACTGTACCTGAAGCTGGTTGCGATTCTTCTCTGTAAGAAAGTCAAGTTGAAGATCATGTAAATAATAATGAAATGACTTCCCATTACGATCACAGAACAATAGTGATTTGTTAACAAACTCCTGCAGTATATCTTCGACTTCTTCGGTTTCCATATCCCAAAGAATACAGAGCACCTAAAAAAGCACATTAAGACAGAAAAGATAATCAGAACTAATATCATAAAAGAAGTGTTAACTGACAACAAAACACATGGTAAAAGTTATGGACATTTTACAAACTGTAGTAAATTCAGTAAGTTACCAGTTCTTTCATACCAGACTATGTATATGACAGATAATACAAATTAACCCTTCATTTGTCCATTTGTGATGACTTATGATGGTCATATCTTTTCTTAAGAGAGACGAATTTCATAAGAGTTTAAGCCCTCGGAGAGCTCAATTATTAGTTAGCACAACTAACTAAAGAGCTATATATGCAGTGCATGTTAAACCAATATTATGAACAAGTTTATTCAGTTACAATTTTTTAGTTTCACTACTGACAATAAAAGTCATGATACAACAATGGACCCAATCTACCATTTATTATTAAGTTGAATACACAAGTTATACACAGTTACAAATTTTATGACTAATTCATTGCTTCTAACTCACTAAAAATCACAGAATATCCCAAGTTGAATGGGGTCCACGAGGATCACAGACCAATACATATACACAAAGTAACAACAAAAAAAGCCCACACTGCATTTCTGTTATTACCTTAGTAGGTACTTTAACATCTTTTGGAAGAATAGAGAGGTCTTTATAGTAGTCTTTAAAATCATTATCCAGTTGCTCAACACTTATGGACATTGCTTCATCAAGGGCTTCATAATCATAAGACGAAGATTTTCTTATTCTTTTAAATTGCTTGTTCTGCAGCTGTTTGAGATAGTACTCCCAGCGACTGGGGAAGTCTCGCAATAATGCGCCTATCAAGGATATCACAAGAGGAGAACCTGAAGGAAGAAAATAAATTTAATCTTGGAGGTTTTCAAGGAATAATTCAATAGTTTAGTAGTTGAATAAATCTGGTAATTTTCCCAATTCATTGGTAAAATTCTTGAGACGTGGAAGACAAACAAAATATGTTATCTGCAGATGTTATTAAAAACATGTTAAAATATGTTATTTGCATATATTATAACATGCAGACACCTGAAAAAACACTAAGTTATCATCTTTTAAATATACTGGAAAAAATACACTGAAAAGAACTACTTGAAAGATCATCACGAGACACCTTTGTTTAAAGAAACAGAAGGCATCCAACAAACACGTGTGTTTTACTTAAGGGATACAGTATCAAGGAATGTTTCCCTCCTCTTTCTCTAAGTCAAAACACAGAAGAAAAAAATCCATTGAATGGTAAATGGCAAGTTAAAAAGTAGAAAGTATCATACCTTTGCATTCTCTTATAATGCAGTTAGCTTGTTCTGGCAGTTCTGGTATTTTCATATTCACAAACAGGGATAAAACCTCCAGCCCTTTCTCATGTGCAAGTCCACTTTCTACATGAATCTCATATTTATTGCCTAGACACAGAAACACAGGGAAAAAATAAAAAAGATTTTTTTAAATGCTGTGGAAATGAAGATTATTTTCTGATAAAAATCTGGAGCAAAGGATCTGGTTCATGATTTTATGCATAGTATTTTATTCTTAGTACTAAGCATATTACTAAGAATAGTAGAAAAATAGCATAAGTAAATCTCAAGTTTTCATTATGGAAAAAAAATAGCATTATGTGCATGTCATAGCAGTGACTTCTTCATACTGTAATCAGTTTAACAGCAGCAGCATCACACAGGCTAATGTATCCCGTTGAGAATCACTGCACTCTTCAATGTAGATGTTGAACTTTTAGGATAACATTTAACATGTATTTCATGTAAGAGCATAAGGTCTTAGAGAACAGTCTTCTGAAACTTTGTCACTTATGCGCAAGTTGACGGACACAGGTTCTATCAGATTCTTTTAAAAGCTCACAAAACCAAACTGCATACATATATAATCACAATTTGTAGTGCAGGATAAGAAACTGTTCCTTACCAGACACAGCATCCGTTACACTCCTGTCCCGGCTGGTAATAAGAACTTGACATTGATTATCAAATGCTTTTAATACCCAGGAATCCCAAATATCGTCCAGGACCAAAAGAGACCTAGGACAAGAGAAAACATTGCAGATTTCAGATCAACTATTAGTAATGAGATCCAGTATTTCATCTTAATAATTAAAGAACATTTTCAGAATTAATAACATACCACTTTATAATTTTCTTCCACTAACACGTAAGATATCTTAAGAGGGCATTAAACACTGTGCTAGAAAGCTGAATGCAAGTATCTCCACAATAAAGTTTTTACTATTTATTGCTTTTACTTTAACCATTTTACCATTTGATCCAATTTTTACCCATTTATGGCTGCAATTGAAGTGCACTTGATAAATATCGTTTTAAAGACTATTTCCATTAGAAGATGTCAGGAAAATCAGAAATATTTACTCCATTTTTTAACAGAATTCTGCTTGACACAAACTAGAGATATGCTTTGAGATAAACAATTTCAACTTCCTCTTAACTCAAAAATTAGGATAATTTTTTTCCTCAGAAAGAGTAGTCAGGCATTGGAACGGGTTGCCCAGGGAGGTGGTGGAGTCACCATACCCAGGGATGTTTAAGGAAAGGTTGGACATGGTGCTTAGGGACATGGTTTTGTGGGTGACATTGGTGGCAGGGGGATGGTTGGACCAGAGGATGGTGGAGGTCTTTTTCAACCTTAATAATTCTACAGTAAAACAGAAAAAGGAAAAGCAAAAGATGAGAGAGTTAGGATGTTCTCTTATGGTTTTTTTTTTAGACGCAGAAACATGTAAACATAACACAGACACTTTAGATGATTAGACCAAAGTAACTGACAAAACTTTCAGAGTAAAAGAAAAATGTTTCATTTTACTGACATCACCTGGGATATTTGCGCAGCATTAGCAAACGAAGACGATCTTTAGCCTCCTCAATGTTAAGTGGTGGTCTCTGTGAAAGAGTAGAGTCGTGTTCTAATCTACTACAGAGATTTTGTAGTTTTATAAGGAGCCCTGCTTTGTCCTGTTTTCCAACAGAGATCCAGTGAACTCCTCCTGGAAAGTAATCTGACAGGAACAACAGTGTTAATCATGCTTTACATTTAAAACTATAAGTATATATAGCAGATTAGAACAGCAATCAATAATGCAATTTAAATTAAAATATAAACTGCAAAGTCAATTGCCAGCAACATTAAAACTCATTAACACCATTAACACAAAGTTGATTCTACAACACTACTGTTTTTTATTTTTAAAGGAACAGACTCTGTAGCGCAAGTTCCCACAGAGAATTCACACTGCCACTGATGCTGCCCCTCCTCTCTACTTGCATTCCTGCCTAATCCTTGACAACCCCTTCTGCATCCAACCTTCCTGCTACTCCGACTCAGCATTCATTGTTTTCACCCTTCAGAAAGAGGCTGGAATGTGAAATCATTACAAAACAGTGAGTAAGAGAGCATCTAGAAGAGTCAGCTACAGCAGAGGATGATGTATTCTCTATCCCTCCATCATGTTTTCTATTATCTCAGTTGCATTTTCTTCTCCAAGTGTCCTATGCAGAAAAAATACTAGAAAATTATTTATGACACACTAACTGTAAGCTAACATAATACTAGTATAATCACACCACAAACACATGTCATTATTAAAATCTATGTTATGTTTTGAGCATGATTTTTTAAACTCACATAGCATGGGTAAAAGTCTGACTCAACAAGCAGAGTCCAAAAGGAATAAAGACTAAAATGATTATTTTACACTGACAGAAATAACAATTTCAGGTTAATTAAGGGTATATCTACTCTCATACACCAAAGCAGATTCCATGGTGAAAAGGTATTCTCAATCTTTTTCCATACATTAGTAAAATGTTTAGTGGTCCTAGAGCACTAAATGGCTATGAAAGCCATAATTTGCAAGCAAACATTTCAAAACCATCTATGGAATTTAGCAACCTAAATACTAAATTACTTTTAAGATGACATAAAAATACTTCATCATACACACCCAATATGTGTATACTTGTAGCAATCTATAAAAACAGAGATGTTTCTATAAAGGTACCTTCCAAGAGCTGGTGATCCCTTAAAGCTTCTGCTGTTAAAACAGTCTTCCCACAGCCTGCCATTCCGTAAACCGTGACCCAGCCTGGATCACTTCCCAAGCTGCGCAGTTTCTGTTTAATAGCATCTACCAGTTCTGGCCGAGTGACAAACACAACCGGTCTTTGTGGTACTCCTCCTTCACAGAGAACTGTCTTAACTGAAGTTAAAAACAAGAAACGTGAAAATTGAAAGTAATTTCTAAATATGACACCTCTTCAAAACAAAGCAAAACAGAAACAAAACAAAGAATTCTCTACCAATAACTAGTGACTTTTTTCCCTAGCTCATGTCCCATACAAATGCTCTAAAAGCTACCAGACTAACAACACCAGATACTGAAAAAATATTGCTTGTTTGACATAAATTACTAAGCAGGTACCAACTTCTCACCTACGGTAGTGTTCCAATTATTAGCTATATATTCTGCAAGCTAGACCTAGTTACATCAATCCCAAGAAGGGAAAAGAATTAACAACACCAATAGAAATTATGGCAAACAAACACAGGAGCTCAACATTACTATTCCCAACAGCCAAGTCATTTTCTCAGCCAGAAGCTACTGTCCCAAGGATGCAGCAGAAAACAAAATACGTTATGTAGGGCTTTTACTTCATGGCTAACTGCACAGCATTGTGGCCCATTGTGACCCATGCCATCCTTCCTTTTATTGAAACTAAGACAGCAGGACTTGTAAAAGGGCAGCTAAAGCACAACAGGAAAGTAAATGTGCACCTAATCTGTCCACTAATGGCCACACTGCGAGGTGCTGCGCATATTATACTAATAAATTTTTTAAGTCTTACTCAGGTAATCAAAAACCACATCTCTCTGATGCTCCTTAAAATGTGCAGTGCCAAAAATATACTGTAAGATTTGTTATTTAGTCAATGCAGTAAGAAGGCTCGTTCCATTAGAAACTACCAGCTTATTTTATATCAATCAACAATGACAATAACTACAACGTATGTAAAGTTTAGGAACTTAGAGTGACTAAAAGATCTGGTTGAAAGAAATAACCAATTAATTATATCAACTGTTGGTAACTATTGGTATTTGCTAGTGAGAGATTATAGGTTAATCTTCAGGGAAAATGTCAGAATTTCGGAGGATTCAGCTATTTATGTTAGATTCAATTTCTTTAATATATACGAGTCGTTTTTCAACTTAAGTAAAATGTTACAACTTACAAAAAAACCAGGAAGTTTCCAGTCTTTTCAAATACACATCACTAAATAAGAACATTTTCAAGATGATCTATGAATGTCATAACCATCCTCTCCTACCATATTAAATATATGAAATAAAGGGAATACCGATTATTGTGCTAGCAAAACAAGCAAATACACTTGTCATTTACTCCTGCTTCATTGGAACAGGTATTATAGATAGTCACTTAGCAAGGAATAAAAATACAACTTCTCTTTACTTTCAAGCACAGGGATCACTGTAGTTACACTTACCGTAAGAAGTCATTCCATCAACAGAACTCTTTCCATTACCAGAGAAGACAGGAATGCCATCCTGAAGAAGTGCAGCAAGATCTCTGTACCCTTCATGAAGCAGTGCATTATAAAAGGATCTATATGAATTATTATCTTTTGTAAGAATAATGTTTATTAGCATAGCTGCTCGCTCCTTCTGTGTGTTCTAGAATAAATATTAGAACAGATGTTATACAAAACTGGGAGAACTCAGAAATCATCTAATCTATCAGTCTGTCAGTTATAGACCAAGATTATACTTACAGAAACAAGCAACAATTTGAGCAAGCCCTCAGCTCAACTTTATGAGGTGCAATAAAGACTGCAAGCTAAGCTTACAATTAAAAATGTGCTGAATCCAGTAATGATAGGCAGAAACAATTATTTTTAAAAAGGACAATAAAACACATAAGCAGCCTAGGAAGATTAAAAAACAGTGAGAGATGATTCTACCTGTTGTTTCACTTTCTCTTCCTCCTCTATTGTTAGTACTTGGTCAGCTACCATATGATCCATAATATAAGAGGTCTTGATGTCTCTCTCCAGAGCTTGACGATTCATAAGTAAATAATTCCTACTCTTCACATCCATGTTTCTTCAGTGTGTCTTTGTTTCTTCAGTGCGTCTTCAAAAAAGAAAAAGAAAAAAATAGAAGTCAAGCTGGAACCAGAACATAACTTGCAAGTACAATGAAAACAGTTTTAAAGTATCTTATGAATTTTTATGTTGGAAAAAATAGCAGAGCAGCTGCGTTAACAAAGAACAGAGTGAAATCTTCAGGCAAGCTTCTGCAGTTTGTAATAGCAATCTAAACAATTTAGTTGTTTTTCACTTCTGTTCTGATCAAATTATTTTTATACCACTGTTGCATAAGTTTAGTTACACTGCGTGAGATCTACTGGTCCAGCTTGGCTGGACAGCACAGCAGCATCAAGAAAGTACAGAGGAAATTTAATGTAATTCCTCTTCAACAGAGTAAAAAAGATACATTAAATATTTAAGTTTTAATAGTTCACAAGCTACTCTGAACACGAATAATAGTTTTCAGGTATTACGTAGATACCAAATGAAATTGTCTTAAATCAAAACATCCAAATGAACGTTACCATAATTAATCTACTACAGTCTAATACAGTGTTCAGTTTTGGGCCCCTCACTATAACGGCATCCAGGTGCTGGAGCATGCCCAAAGAGCAATGAAGCTTGTGAAGGGTGCGGAGAACAAGTCTTATGAGGAGTGGCTGAGGGAGCTGGGGTTGTTTATGCTGGAGGAGAGGAGGCTCAGGGCAGACTTTATCATGCTCTACAACTACCTTAAAAGAGGCAAGGTAGGAATCAGGCTCTTCTCCCATGCACCAAGTGACAAGACAAGAGGAAACAGCCTTAAATTTTGCCAGGAGAGGTTTAAAGTTGGATATTAAGAAAAATTTCTTCTCTGAAAGGGTTGTGCTGCATTAGAACAGGCTGCCCAGTGAAGTGGTTGAGTCACCATCTGTGGAGGTCTTCAAAAGCTGTGTAGATGTAGAGCTCAGGGATGTGGTTTAACGGTTCACTTGGCAGTGATAGGTTAACAGTTGGACCATACGATATTAGCGGCCTTTTCTAACCTAAACAATTTATGACTTTCCACAATTGCTCCACTTGGAGGCATATAAAGCAGGTATAAATATAAATATATACATATAAAGACTTCATTTAAACATATACACTGTATGTATAAAGACTTCAGTCTTTATAAATTAATGAGACTCAATGAACTACTTGCATTCGCTGTGAGAATGGAAGTTTTAATTAAAAAAAAAAAAAAAAAAAACAGATACATACTGACAATTTTGGGGGTGACAACCCAAAAACATTAATTGAGGTCCTTTATCACGTTTCTGTCACTTTATGTTTATGAAAACTTGCAGAACTAAAGATTCACGGCCTGTGCAAGCTTCTCACATATTTGCCAAGTGCTTCTGTGTATTCCCTCCTCGCTCTACGTACCTCGAAATTCTGAACTCCTTGGATCGTGTAACGGGGACACAAGGACAGCTCTTGCGGTTGGCAGCACTGGGCCGAGCTACAACCAAAAACAAACCCTCAGAGCCTCCCACAACACCAACCCAGCGTCCTCCAGCTCCAGGACTCCCCGCAGGTGCACTCCGATCCCAACACACACCGGAGCACCCACCCCTGCCAAAGGCCGGGCTAAACCTTCCTGTGGCAGCCCCTGGGGCACAAGCATGCTTTTACACGCTTCCAAAATTAAAGCTATTTCGGGGGGAAAAGCTTTTCAGTACTGACCAAGACACCAATCGCTCCTTTCCCCTGCACTCCCGGGCAGGTACCGAGGCCGGTGGCGCACCGGGGCTGGCTGCAGGAGCTTTCCCTTTCCCTTTCCCTTCCCTTTCTCTTCTCTTTCCCCAACCACGCAGCGAAACCAGAACAAAAACCGCAGCGGCCGCAGCCACCTCCCCGCACCCCGCCACAGCCCGCCCGGCCCCGCAGGAGGGACAGTCTCCCCGCGTCCCCCCGACGGCGGGGAGGGCGATGCCGGTTACCTGCCGCTCAGCGCCGCCGGCTGCGAGGCCTCGCCCAGAGCAGCAGCCGCTCCCCGCCCAAGCAGCGGCCCCCCCACGGCCGCTTCCTCCTTCCGGGCCCGGGGGCGGGCGGAGCGGCGGGGCAGTCCCGGTGCCGGCGGCAGCCCCCGCCCCCCCGCGGCGCACAACGCGCGGAGCCTGGAGCCCGGAGCCCGTGGCCGCCGCCCCACGCCGGCGCAGAGCCGCGGCGGAGGCCCCGGCGTCCTGCTGAGGCGGGCACGCGCCTGACGTGGCGAGCTCGGGGCCGCGCTTCTCGCCCCGAGCCGTTTTTCCGTGCTGCCCCCCGCAAGGCCCGCTCTCAGCCCCGCTGGTGTCGGAGGGGACACGAAGCAGCGTCTCTGCTAGGGGTTTGTGAGGGGGGACGCGTTTTATTTTACTTTTTCCTGCCTACTTCAGGCTCAGAGCACGCGTCCCGGTGCCGTTACTTGCTGGCAGCCCAAAGCTTCGGACGCTTGTGACACTTTTAAACAGGGCCCTGCAGGCGTGCATGCAACCAAGTAAGTATCTCTGGCATCCAACGTTTATATTTCGGCGTGTGCCTCAGCTGCAGTGCTAGGGAGTGATTCGGAAAGAAGCACCGCGCTCCGGTCCCAAACGGTGCTAAACCAAGCCCAGCACGGGTTCAATTAATCTCTTCTTAATTAAGTGCTGGCGGACTCGGGTCTGACGCTGCCTCTGGGTCTCCACGTGGCTGGGCAGAATGTGAGCTTCTGCTGCCTTTGAAAGCGGAGATTCACTTAGCTGGACCTCACTTTTAATGAAAATAACAGTTCTTATTTTATCTAAATGTATTATTTCATTATTCTTCCGTATTTTTTTCTGTGAACGGCTTCATATTAGCTGCTGCCTATAGTTTCACAGATGAAATAATTGCAACAGGATCATATCTAAATTAAATATTTATTTGTAATGCCACGTTGATAAATGAGAGGTAACACGTTTTAAAATGTACAAATACTTAAAACAGGTTACAGAAACTTCTGCTAATACCGTGACAATAATCACCAACTATAAAAATAATTATCGTGCTTATTTCAGCTCTTGTGCTTTTAAATATCTCTTCAAAATGGCTAAAATAACAGCTAACAACAGCTAAAATATTTCTGGAAAGGTGAAATTAGCTAAGGTTTGAAGAGCCTGTGCTCAGTTTGAAAACTGTGCTCTGTTGTATATAAAAAAAAGTCTTAAAGTCTTATGAAAGTATTGTGGCATTTTATGGAAGTTCACCTCACTAGGTAAGATATTAAGCACCAAAGGAAACATTTTGGCGGTATTTGTGTAAATAAAAAGTCTCTTGTTTTGTTTGGTAGCTCTCTCTTTTGCTTCTGCTTTTTGAAAATGCAAAATGTCTGAAGTTAAGCAGAGGAAAAAAGGCATCTCTTCATCCAAGACCAGTGAAGATTCTCAAAAGCTTGAGAAGCACAGTAATCATGGGAAGCTGGCAGGTCCCAGGATGAGCAATAATCAGAGTTCCTTTTGGATAGACTTGAGGACAGCCTCGAATGTAATTTCCCTTGCAGCTTGTCTGGTGCTGACCTGGTAGGTAATCCTCTACAGTGGATTTTAATATTTTCATTTATATTCTGTACTGTATTTGGTCGTGGACAACAAGATTAGTAATGTTTGAATATATTGTTTGTATTAAATGACTGCAGAAACATGTTAAAGCTAGAAGGGTCAAGAAAAGAATAGCAGTATTCACAGGTGTGGAAATATCGTTATACAGTGAGGCATTCACAGAAGCTTAATCTGTTTAATCAAGCTGAAAGTTTAAAAGGTGCCTTGCTCATGAATTGTAAATATCTGCTTTGGAGGCTACATCTAACTCTGAAGAGCAACTTAATCTTGCAGTAAGCACAACAAGGCTCAGTTGGCAGGGAATAAATAAATCAACAGCAGAAGGGAAGTAGAGTAAATTTGCTCAGCAGCGTGGTAAACTGTTCTTCATGCAGTCTTCAAGAAGATGACATAATCTTTGTAAAAGATGTTCCAGTATATCTTAATGACATCCATACCTTAGTTCCCTCAGAAACTGAGCTTCATGCAGAACTGTTATGATGAAATTCTCAGAACTCTAGTGCAAGAAATTAGTCCAGACTAGTACACTCTTTAAAAAATCTTGAAGAACTTGTTCTTATTTTAGATAATGAAATCTGTGTGATACTAAGTCTTTGATAAATGCATGACATACATAAATAGATACACATAAAACATGGGGCAGAAACATCACTAATCATTTTATTTCTCTGTGTCATTCTGTTTATCAATCTATAGCTATCACTTCTAGCTTTCATTACATGCCTTAATCCATGTAGACTATCATAGTTCTTTTAGAGACTTCTAACTGCTATGCAGTATACTAAAGAGTATCAACTTATGATAGTGCAAGTATTTTAAATAAACTGTATTATTCTAGATAAAATAGCTCCTACTACTAAGAGGACTGCTGGATAGTCTACAATAAAGCTTGTTTAGGGATTAATAGATGTCCAGTAAAAATCAGGGGTTTGCTTGGTTGTCACACTTTGTTTCTGCTCCCAAGTTCACAGCGAGTAAGTCCAATTTGTACATGAAGTACAGAACTGAGGTATCTGCTATCTGTTCCCAAAGCTAGCTAGCATCATCGTAACAGAAGCTTTACTATTCTTGGATGGTCACATGTTGATCAATGTTAAATGATTAATGCTGTTTAATGTTAGGCAGCATTAGCTTAACCAGCCTTTCTAAATCTAAAGGTTGATATGCATGGTTTTGTGATGCTTTGCAGGAAAGTCCAAATTAATCTTTTGTGTTTTATTTCTGCCAATTGAATTATACTTTATCAATGAAATATACTGCTTTAACTGTGTGGCAAAGTATTAGAAATGTGTGATGACCTCATTGTATTCTCTGAAATCTTTGACTTCTCTGCTGTTTTCATTTGAATGGTACCCTTTGTAAAACTGAAGCACATCTACAAATAATTCCTTATTTTTACACATCTATTGGAAACTGGCAATTCCAGTAGGAAGACAGATCAGGTTCATTAACCCCTATTTTTTGTCCTGTCATGTATTGATCTAGTAAATTCTATCAGCACAAATCTCTGTAAATCAGATCCTGGAATGCTTAACTGTAGTTACATTTACTATTTATTTGTAATTTTAAGGTTCCTATTCCAGCAGTCAGGGCGATTTGCTGATATGGAAAAAAGGTACAACTTCTTGCAGCAAGAAGCTGAAAAATTCCTGGACATGGAAAATAAAGTCAGCTTAATTTCTGAAAAGGTAATCAGTACCATCTTAATTGGATAACTTCTGATGAATGTTTGTTATTGTCTTATTTCATTGCCCTTTAGTCAAATTTAGCTGACTCTTCTTTTTGATAATTTTTATAATGTGTTCTACTTGCCTATGAATTGGCCTTTGAATATTTCATTGAAACATTTGTGAAGACAGCACAAGAAATCAGGTCTCGCTTCTGATTCGTTAATTTCATTTGCTGATTTGCTACTGAATCTTGTTCAGGTTGCACTTTGTTATTTATGTCTTTAAAATGAAGATAAATGTAAAATCTACCTTACAAAAGTGTTTTGCTGAAGATAAAGAATATTCTGAAGTACTCTGTATTATACTTGCAATCTAGCAATCATTGAAAAAAGTTCAAGGAGTGTGTTGCTTAGTATTATTTATTTAAATCCTTATTTACTGACCCTGTGTACATATTAGAATGAATATTAATACATTAATTAACAATGAGAACATTGATAAGGAAATCATAACCATGGTGAAAGTAGTAGCAAAACTCACTTAGTTCATTGAAACCTATGCTGACTCTTGAAATATAAAACTGATTTTATTCTTACTAAAAAAGACACGTTAGGAATAGGATGTCTTAATTTTATTAATGCACCTACATGTGTCAATCCATTACCATCATTCAAGGATGTAAATATAGTAGTTGTATCTCAGTCTTATTTTATTAGATGCTAAACTTCTTAGAGAACTTATATTTATGCACATACTTCATTCTACTATTACTGTTCTGTAGATAATTCAAATATACGTTTATTTGAAGAAAAGTTAGTTATGTAGTAGACCAGTTCTAGTAATAGGAAAGAAACACTGAAATGTTAGGAGAACAAAATAGTATTATTATTATTATTATTATTATTTTTCATTGCTATGTGTGACACTATCCAGTAGAAAACTTAGGCTGGCTGCAGAATTATCACTTGTATTTTAGAAAGAATGAGAACATGGCTTATGTAAGTGATGCTGTTTTAGCAGTGATCTCATAATGTTGTCATTTATATATATAAACACCATAATTATGCTATAATTTCGGTGTTTATAATACTGCATTCAGATACACTGCAAAATGTTGCATGGGATTTAGGTTGATATAATTTACAAAAAAAGGTATGTGTTCTATGGAAATTCATCAACAAACGTACCTTTCTATGTGGCTCTTTAATGCTCAATAAATCAATACTTTTAACAACAAAATGTGAAAAATATTAACATTGAGCATTATAACAATTAAAGTGGCTTCTAAGGGACTTTATACTCTATTAAATAAAAGCAAGTGATTTTCTAGTCTTACTTTTGTTAAGTAGATATGGACGTTGTTTTGTGTTATAAATACAGCTTGAGTCTTCTGAAAGTATCCTACAAGAAGCTGCTTCATCTATGTCTGTGATGACTGAGTTTAAGCAGGAAGTATCTACTCTTCATAACATCATAAGGGATATTCAGAGCGATGAACAGACTCTCTCTATAAAGATGCAGAGCATTAATGAGAAGTTCCAAAATATTACAAATTCCTGGAGAAGAAGCTTGGATGAAATGAACACAAACACTAGTGGAATAAAATCTGAAGCAAAGCTCATACATACAGAAGTTACTTCCCAAATTAATGATGTTGACCAAAGAATTAAATCCCTTTCAGAAAGATTAAAAGATCTGGAAGACAGCACAGCCAGAAATATTAAAACAGTAAAAAGGCAAGAAGATGATGAATTCACTAGAGTTGAACAAAAGTTGGATTTACACGCAAAGGCAGTCAAGAAGCTGGAAGAGGAGCAGAATAGTCTGTTAGCCAAGGACGCAGACCTGAATCAGAAACTTGCAGCCTATGAACCTAAAATTGAGGAGTGCAAGACCTATTTGCCAACAATTGAAAATGCTATTCATTCTATTCTTAGACAATCAAGTGAATTGCTAAGTATGGAGAAAAAGATAGAGGGATTGACAACAAAGCTGTATACTGTGGAAAACAACATGTTGAAAACTGTCTCTGATACAATGATGATGCAAAACCTTCTTGAAGGCATTCAGTACAATGGCAGCATATTGAAACTGCAGAATAAAACAGTGGTTGTAGAAGAAGTAGTACATGACATAAAATTATCTTCAAGTGCTGAAGGGATGACTTTAGAAGGCTCTAAGTTAAAAAATGACCAGGATGGGGATAAATGAATTTGGACTTAGGGTTTTCACTAATGAAAAAGCACTTTAATAGTTTATTTATAATTTGACTCTAGCATATGCAGGGAAGAAGGGAGAGGCTGAGGGGGGGGATACAGACATCAGATTAAAAATTATAACTTATATCTCATTTCCATTTAAAAAAAAAAAAAACACTTTGGTTTTTATGTTGTTACTTCTTGTGACCATATTCCATGGACTTTGTAACACAGTGAACTAAGTTCTTGGCTCTAGGCAGCCATACGCTGTAGATAATTCTTAATGTTACATATATCGTAATGTTTTTGTGCTTACAATACAGACTTCACAATGGGAAGTGGGAATCTCTGAATGTTATATGCAAGAAAGCACAAAATACGTGTTTAACAGCTGATGCTGAATTTTAGATACAACAACACTACAGAAAACACTAGTAAAGTACCTCTTACTGAGAACCTTGTATTTTATTGGTATTTACAGGTGGGGGGAGTATATAGCAGCTGGTGTTATATTTTTATTTCTTTGACTTTGTGCAAATAGCCTCATTAGACTTCACCTCCATCCTTTTCCTTCCTAAACTCAGTCACGGTTTTGTTCTCCCATTGAAGTCTTTGGACTATGTATAGACTGAAGTCCTTACTCCTGCTGAGTTTCTTACTCCATTATTTCTTTTGCAAGTTCAGTGTGATCAGTCATTGTATTAGACTGAGAGGTTTTTTTTTTATTGCTATTAGAAATGTTACAAGTTTTCCTCTATAGAATGTTCTCTGTTGTCATAACATGACTTGTTTGGTATTGGTTTGCATTTCAAAGGAGAAGAAACTGTTAACAGGGTCAACTGAAAATGTTTCCTAAACTTTGGTGAAACAAGGACTGCAATTCCTGGAAGACACTGATTTATGCACTTCAGGGAGGGGAGGAGAGAGGAGGAAATTATTCATAGATCAGTTAAATCTATTCATAGATAAGTTTTCACAGGGCATAGTGCTACATTATAGTCCTGGTAACTGTATATTGAAATTTGGATCTCAGGACCACCATAATTTTGTGTCTACAGATGTACATCTTGGTAATGTCAATTTTCTGAATTCTGGGAAGGAAATTGCTTAGGCAGTATGAATGTATAATGTTTATGAATTAATTTGTTTTAAGTTATTCACGTTTTCTACATTCATTTATCTGTACAGAATTATTCTTTAAGTAGTTAATGCTGCACATTCACAATACTAATTAAACTCGTACTTCTCAATGCTAAGAAATCAGTTTCATATATTTATTACTCAGGTACAGATTACATCTGTTTACAGTTAATCAATAAAAATATATTGGAGTGTATTGCCCTGTCTTGGTGCATAATCTAATTAAAAATGAATTGGTCTTCCAGAAAAGAGTACAGAATACATACTTTAATGTTCAGTGTTTGATTAAAAATACTATAAATATATACTATACTAAATCTTTTTAAATATTCTTCACAAGTGTGTTTTACTGTGTTTTTATTTCATCTCTGCTTGGAGGAAGAGGTAGCACTATCAATGGTATAGTGCCCAGTTTAATGCCTTCCATCAACACTGTCTGTGTTAAAAATTGAATTTACATAAGATGGAACAGGAAATCCTCATCCTTAGGAAAACCAGCACAGCTCTTTATAGTGTAAATTCTAATATTTTGTTTTTAAGCAAACAGCTCTGTGCTAATGAGGAATGACCGACACTAACAAGAAGTTAAAATGCTTGTTTCTTTGGTGTTACTTTTACTACTGGCCTCAGAAAAAAAGGATTAGTATGATTTTGTGAAACAAAGTATAGCCTCTAGAATACGTTTGCTTGCTTGTTTGGTGGTGGGTTGTTTTTTTGTTTGTTTGCTTTTCCTCCAAGATCTGCTCTGGCTTATTGACGATAGAACAAATTAGTATCATTCATGCAGGTTAGCGGGTCAAACCTATTCTGAAAACAAACCTATTCTGAAAATTTGGTCAATTAATAAAAAAAAGAATAGAGATCGTAAAACACTTTCTACTGAGTTGCATGGGAGCTTGCTCAGCAACAATACAAATGTGGATGATAAAAAGCAATATGTGAGTCAAAGGAAGCAATCTAGATTAAAAGTTTGCCATCAGACAGTACCCAAAGGAATTTACATTGTCTAATGACATTCCAATTTAAAAAAAAAAAAATAGTAAGATTTGTTGTTGGTTTTGTTTTTAAAATTAGCAGTGTGGCTAACCTTAATTTTAATTTGTTTAATTTGTCAACCTCTGTTTTAATGTTGTGTGTGCCTAGTAGCAGAATTATTAGCTTTTAATAGTCAAGTGGATGGTTGATAGGATACTTTTTATTAGTCAAGAGGGAAATTACTGACAATTAATCATTTTAATGAAGATGCATCTTGAGTTGTGAAATACCAGTTAATTGGGAGCATATGTTGTTGGTTCTTTAACAAATAAGCATTGTTATTGTTCTGCTTACCCTTTCAATGTGGTGATTAAGTTTTATGTTTGAAAGGAAACATAATTTAAAAGTGCATTTAAGTATTGAAAACAACCTGGTAGTCCTTTAATAGGGTATTAAGATAAGTGCAAAAAACAGGTGCAGTACTGAATAAAAGATCTGTCCTTAGTGTTTCTCATAAAAATAGTAATAAAAAATACAGAAACTTTATATTTTAATCTGAGTTTTCAAGTATTACGCTGTTGCCAGAGAAAAGAACCATTTGCTAGGGAAAAATGTAAGATGGTAGCTATGCCTGTCATAGATCAGGTTCCAGCCTTCATGTGCATTTCCACTTCTGAAAACCAAGCTATTTCTAGAGTGTATGTTTGAACACCTGACCTGCTCCTCTCTTGTATCTTTTTCTAGTATCTTCTGTAATTTGGAGTCTCTGTTGCTTTAAAATTAAATTTAACCATTATATCATAACCTGCATTGCCCATTTAGGTAGCTAGTCAACAGTTGTTACTCACATGAAGAATCAGCATATTCCCAACCAAATTTCATCTCAGATTGAGAACTAAGTGATAACGTAAATGGTTCTGAAATATTTCAACATGTCTGTACTGTATTTTTTTCCTATGACGTATGAATAGGAGTGCAGATATTTTAATTTCTTCCGCTCAAAGTTGAAAACCAAAAAACAATCATTAAAAAAAAATAAAACACAATAGTGAACTAGCAAATTCATCCAAAAAAAAAAAAAAAAAAAACAAGAGTAGCACGTGTTTTCCCTCGTTAACATAGTTTTCAGGAAAGTGGTCTGTCCAAGTAATATTTTTTTGTGTGATGCATTTTGGTGGCTATTTAAACAAAAGAGAATGATGCCTAATTCTTATCTTTTTTTCCTCATGTGAATGTTTTGTTTAAAATACATGTTGCAATCCCCAAAATAAAAACACATCTGTAAACTATGCTCCTTAATTTTGTAATAAAATCTTTAAAGTAGGCAACTTTCTAAAATGTTTCTGAATATCTTCTACATGAGTCTTTCTGGATCGCACAGATTATAGACAATACAAAAAATTCTGTAGATTAAAAGAAATTTGCATTTGATGATTTGTTTTCCTCCCTCCCTTACAAATGATACAAAAAAGATATACATGTAAAACCTTCCTGTATTTTTTTAAGAACATAAAAGTAGTAATATTTGAATTTGTTACATATGCTGAAAGGAAAAATGAATATCTTAATTGTATTGTAACACCAATTTATTTCCTAAAGACATGGTTTCCTCTGAATTTCAGTATCAGGATTCTAAGGTATTTCATTAGAGTATAGCTTTAATCTTGATGTGAGAGTTAAGTTAGAAAAATTGTCAAATATTTTTATTTGTGTTTCTCTAGTGTGAAAAGACTTGGAACTTATTGGAACAGCTGGAAGATCTCCAAGTAACTTCTCACATTAAACATCTACAGGAAGATATTTATACAATGAAAACATGGTCTAGCAGCATAATTAAAAAGAAAGAAGAACTGCAGAAGAATTTAACAACCCTTTTTAATGCAGTTACAAGTGCAGAAGAGAATGCAGCTTCTGTCGCAAAAAACATAACTTTGAAAATTGTGACAGTAAAAACTGACATAAGGCGTATTTCAGGCCTTGTTTCAGAGATGACAGCATTGACAAGTTCTTTGCAAGCGTTAGAAGATAAAGTAGAAAAAGGTGAAAAGAAGACAGTAGAAAACATAGGTGACCTGCTTACTAGTAGCATTGACCGAAGTACAAAGCTACAAAGCTTAGCATCCAGTAACGCAAGAAAAATTGAACAAATTAAGACAGCATTGTCTGAGTTAAGGAATGATTTTGACAAACATTCAGATAGACTTTTGAATCTTGAAGGTGACAGAGCAAAAGTTCTGAAGACTGTTACATTTGCAAATGATTTAAAACCTAAGATGTACAATCTTAAAAAAGATTTTGCCATCTTAGAACCATTAATAAATGACCTAACACTGAGAATAGGAAGATTAGTTGAGGACGTATTGCGACGTGAGAAAGAAATTGCTGTACTGAATGAGAAATTGACCAATCTAACAAGAGTTCAAACTGAGATCGAAGATATGAAAGATGAAGTACCCAAGATTTCAGAGATGAATTGATCACTGGGAGATGACATTGCCTGGAGAATAGTAGTGTTTGAGGACTGTTCCTCCATCATGAGTAGTACTAAGAAGGAAAGACAATAGTTAAACGCTTCATTTGGAAGCACATTGAAACTTAACGAGAGACTTGTCCTCTTTCTTTTAAAAGAACGGAAAAAAAATCATACTGATTTTGAGGGACAACAAGCCATAATCTGAGCAAAAAACTTCTTTGTGCACCTTTGTGTACATGTATTTCTGAAGCATGACACTATATTTAACAAACTGCCTATTTTGTATAATAAAACAGTATAAAAGCATAAACTGTATTTATCTTTGCTTTCATTCAGTAAGCAAGACCAAGACTGGCAAATCTTCAGCTTCCCTTTGCTGCTTCAAAGGAGGGAATAAAATTGCACTTTCCAAATAAACAAAAGTTAATCTAACTACACTCGCAGTTTAGTGTTTTTCCCAATACATTAATTCTGAGCAAAAACTTTTTCACATCAATCATGGTTGATTTTCTGTGAGACCTCATAACTGTAATCACATAATTGTGCAGCATCGTTACGTCTTTAAAACATCAAACTATACAGTGGTGGTGCTTTGAAAGACCTTCTAAGCCTATTGACGGCCTCCTAGTGTCACCATATCTATTCAGGAATCCTAACTGTTCCTCATTATTGCTTAGTCTTATACTACTGTGAGCAGCAAGATTAGCAAAGAGAAACTACGTAGGTGTCAGACTAATGTAAGTCCCTGGCACTATTTCTGCAGCAAAGAACAAGAGTTTAAGTGACCTGAGACATTTGAAAACTCAATAGAAGAGAGACTGAGATAACATGATGCTGAGATATGGCTTAGCAGAGAAAAGAGGGGGAAATTACTTAACTTGGAATAAAAAAAATATTATTAAAAACAGCTAGGAGAGATGCAGCAATCAAGAAAAATCCCTTAAAATGAAATTATATCAAGAAGTATAACAGTATAGTAAGACCTTTACAACTACTTGATTGGTTGGTTGGTCATAACTGCACATCTTGCAACTATTGAGGCCATTGGCTTCATAGAAGAGATAATCATTCCTCCCACTCACTGTTCTCACCTTCACTCAGCATTTGGTATCTTCTTCATATTGCTGTCTCCCATGCCTTGCTTGCTGCGTAGTCTTCAACCTTAAATGCTTTGTTTTATCATTTGTATATTACGGCCTGGTATTCACTGAATTCACTAATCCTCTTTTTTTGTTTGTTTCTGTGCATCCTCATATTAGCCCTGTCAAAGAGAGCACCAAGCATAATAGTCATAGCTAGCAAAAGAAAATTGATATAACTGAGAAATCTGTTCTAAGTGTTTTTCACAAAGGCCATCACGATGCAATTAGTCTCCTGGTATAAAAATCTTGAGAGGAGAAACTAGGTAGAAATAGATCGCTATTAAATATTTTTGGTCCAAAACATCCTAAGTATGCAGTGTTTTGCCAGACAAATATACTGCCTGCAATGAATAAATTTGCTTTCCAGTGTAGGAATAGAGACTTAAAATTTGAAACAGGGAGCTGTGCAACCCTCATGACAAGTTATGAAAATATGAGTGTAGGTAGCCTGAATGCAGTATCATAAAAATACCAGATTTTGACTAATACAAAGCTTCTCGCCTCAACAAAATCTCTACATGGTTTCATCTACACAAGTGAGAGAAATGGAAACTACACTTCAGATGCACAGTTGATCAGAGAAGTCTTGCAACAGCAGAGGTCTTTCTGCATTAAAAGAGCACTCTCTCTTTGAACAGTAACCAGAAAATAAATCATGAAAAACAATTGGTGATTTCACTTTCAAACACAAATGGGTGATCTCCAAATACTAGAACATAAAACAGTATACAGTCGTACACGTACACGTGGTGTCCATGGGAAATTATGTATGCAAAATCTATTACAGAATCATCAATTTCCCTTCACCTACAGAGATATGCAGGCCACCCTTCCTTCCTGGGAGGTTCAGGTCCAAATCAGATATTATGATCCTTTCAGACACTTTGTTGCTACCAAGCAAAAGAGAAAAAGTTTAAGTCACAGAAGTAAAATTTAATTAATTAATAATAATAATTATAATCAAAGTTCATGCACCCACAGTAACATCCTCAGAGGGCAAGTTATCCATGATTCTCCCACAGTCTGTATAGGTGTTATGAACCTTTATTTTGATTTTCAAGCACATACCTGCACTGTACTAAAAAAAAAATCAAATGGAAGTTTGGTCTAAGGACAGAGGCAAAGCTCATTCCATAGTGGAAAAGATGAGGTGCAGCTGCCTCCTTGCTTTAGTGCTGTCAGCAGTGAGGAGTGTATTAGATTGGGGAAGTTAAAAACTTTATTTAGTTAATTTCTAAGGGTGTTCAATGATACCCTCTACAATAATTTATTTTTTTTAAAGTGATAGAGAGATTCAGGTAGTAATGAAAATTACAGCTATGCTACTTACAGCATTATCATCCCATACAGTCCAACCTGTTATGCTATTCAGGACATGTTTGCTTTTAACTTAGCATGCAGGTATAGAACTGCCAATTATATGCTAGCCAGCAACTGATAAGAAGAA